ATTTTGATGCATATCATGAACCCTTTAAACCATATGATCATCAAAACTTGTCAGCCTGATATGCATCATGGGGCCTTAAAGTGTGTCAACCAAAACGCAGGTCACCGTAACCTACTTTTTGAATTTAATGGCTAATCATTTTCAAAACTTTTAAGGTCATTATATTGGATAGTGAGAAGTTTAGAATCACCAAACCTTAATCGTAAGTTGATGCATCGTTAGGCCATATTTATCAAAAAGTAGGTCACAGTGACTAACTTTCTGAATGTTGCAGGCATTGAATTTTTTAAAAATTGTTTAAGAGACATATTTTGACACTGATGCCTACAGCCATTACACCTTGTCAGTTGATGCACCCTAAAGCCTCAGAGTATTACAACAAAAATGTAGGTCACAGTGACCTACTTTTAAAATTATATGGCTATGTTTAAATATTTCAGATACTAATTCGGTTAGAATCATAAGATTTTATCAGTTCATGCACCTTGAGTCCTCTAAGATTGTCAACCAAAAAGTAGGTGATGTAGCTGCAGGTCTGTAGCTCGCTGGTCTGAAAAATTTGGATGGACGACCAGAGAGCTACAGTGCCACCCATTGAAAAAATTGTATATCTATTGCGCACAAAAAAGTGCGCTGTTCCTAACACATTCTTTCACTAATTCCACATCAAAACATTTCCTATAACCGTTGTTAATAGTCCTCCTGGGCCTGAAATTGAGACCATCCAAAATTTCGCCTGTTTTTACTGCCATTTTGGGTGGCTAGAGAATTCGGCTAAACGTGCTTCGTAAAGATGTCAACTATAAAAGTAGTCGATAGAGGTTTAAGGAATTTTTTGAAATCAAGCTTATGTGCAGTTGATCAAGGTAAGAATTTGGAGAAATAAATCCAGAACCGAGCACAACTTTTTGTGCACAATAAATATACAGTTTTTTCTATGGGTGGCACTGTAGCTCTCCGGTCTGTCAATGTTTTTTTCGGAGAGCTACAGTTCTGCAGCTATAGGTCATGGTGACCTACTTTTTAAATTTAAAGACTATATCTAAATATTTCAAATAATAAGAGGCTTATAATCATCAAACTTTTTCAACTGATACATCTTGGGTTCTCGAAGTATGTTAACCAAAAAGTAGGTCACTGTGATCTACTTTGAGATTCCACAGCTATATCTAAATATTTGAATAATAAGCACAGGTACTTGTGGACAGGAACCCCCCCACCCCCACCCCTCCAATATGCCCCACAGGTCAAAAAATATTTTTATGTATTTTTTTCATAAATTATTCTTCTAGTACACATTTACAATGTATTCCATAAGAAAAATCCAAAAAATAACGCAGAATTAACGTTTTACTAAAAAATCATACCCGCGGTATTATAAAATAGAGAAGGTAAGTCACTTCCATTTGTTTACACTGGACCCCTCTTGGATATCAGGCCCAAAATATCATTTACCTAATACATGTCACCGAAATGTGTCATGATATCTTGTTTCGGTAGATATTTTTGTCTTTAATCGTGCTATTAAATTGCCCAGGCATCCCATAATAATCCGAGTATTCATCGTCAAATGTGAAAAATGCTACAAGATTTGGAAATGTCAGAGTAGAAATTACGGAAGTGATGCAAAAACGACACCTAGCGTGTAACTCTCGAGTTCCGAGTGTTATAGAACTAAGGGAAAAGTCAGAGGTCTACGAAAAAGTTCGGGGAAATTTTGATAAAGAAGTCGAAATTGATTCATTAGAATTAAATTCTGCTTAAGATTTTCGAGATGAGCGAGGGTAGTCGTCAATATTCCCTTTAAAGGATGTTATCATTGATACCAAGTAGCGGTTTAAAAATCGCTTAAACATTAATTTACAACTTACAAGATATGTAACCCCTCTTCCCCTTCTACATGGACATGCTTGCAATCAATTCCGATAATATTAAGCTTAATAATTATGTGTATTTTTTAATATTCTTATGCGATGATTATCATTTGCCAAGGAATTTAAATGTGAGTCTTTTCAAAATTAATTCTTAAGAATGAAAATCAGAACCCCATTTTAAAAAAAAAAATAATTTTCATGCTCTTCTTTACTTTCGCGTCGCACTGCTGAGTTTATTTCTGGCCTTGATTACATATATATCAAGCTGCTATTATTTTAATTGAACAAACGGAAGCTTAACTTCTATAAAATAAAGACTTTTAAAAAAGTTCTTTAGGTACGTCTTTTCTAACAGTCATAGTTAGATAATTGCAACTTGTATTACGTAGCAATTGACGTTTAAATATTGCATGGGTTGTACAACCATTCATCAACCGGTCAATTTGTTTTTCTCCAAAACTGTAACTTATAATGACGTTGCACAGCCCCCGTCCCCAAATTAATCAATATTGATTAAATACATGTAGCGAATTCATAACAAATGGTGAAACAAAGAGATTTTTTTGTACAGTTTTAAATAATCACATTTCTGTCTTTACTTATTTTTAAAACTAGTTTATCATTCTAAATATTATATTTACTACCACATTAATTTAACGGATATCCACCTTTCCGCAGACACAATTTAATGAAAATTCCATGTCCACGCAGATGGGGAAGGCGGCCGAGGTGGAGTGGGGGGGGGGGGGGGTTACATGTCAAGTTTATAATGTTTAAGCGATTTTTAAACCGCTACTTGGTATCAATGATAACATCCTTTAAAGGGAATATTGACGACTACCCTCGCTCATCTCGAAAATCTTAAGCAGAATTTAATTCTAATGAATCAATTTCGACTTCTTTATCAAAATTTTCCCGAACTTTTTCGTAGACCTCTGACTTTTCCCTTAGTTCTATAACACTCGGAACTCGAGAGTTACACGCTAGGTGTCGTTTTTGCATCACTTCCGTAATTTCTACTCTGACATTTCCAAATCTTGTAGCATTTTTCACATTTGACGATGAATACTCGGATTATTATGGGATGCCTGGGCAATTAAATAGCACGATTAAAGACAAAAATATCTACCGAAACAAGATATCATGACACATTTCGGTGACATGTATTAGGTATATGATATTTTGAGCCTGATATCCAAGAGGGGTCCAGTGTAAACAAATGGAAGTGACTTACCTTCTCTATTTTATAATACCGCGGGTATGATTTTTTAGTAAAACGTTAATTCTGCGTTATTTTTTTGGATTTTTCTTATGGAATACATTGTAAATGTGTACTAGAAGAATAATTTATGAAAAAAATACATAAAAATATTTTTTGACCTGTGGGGCATATTGGAGGGGGGGGGGGGGGTTCCTGTCCACAAGTACCTGTGATAATAAGAGGCTTAGAATTATTAAACTTTTTTAAGGCTCAAGTGAGCTTTTCTGATCAAAATTTGTCCGTTGTCTGTCGTCGTAACTTTTTTTTAATTTCATCTTCTTCTCCAGAACACTGGACCAAATTCAACCAAACTTGGCACAGTGTACATGTATCCGTGGGTGAAGGGGATTCAATTTTGTTCAAATGAAAGGCCACACCTTCTTCAGAGGGTGCTCAGATAGCATAGATTCAAGTTTGTTCTAATCATTACCTCCCCCCCCCCCCCCCCGGCGGGGATAGGATGGTCCTACAATGGATCAAGTATTACATGAATATATATAGGAAAAAGAATCTGCTGATGAAGAACAAGAAGGGCCCTAGTTACTCAGGAGAGCGTTGTGGCCATGGCCTCTTATTTAGTTAATGCATCTTGGGTTCAAAAGTAGGTCACATAGACCTGCTTTTGAAATTTTATGGTTATATTTAAATGATTCAGATACTAATTCCATTAACAATCTCAATAAATCTCACCAGAGCTACTGCGAACTCCTTGGGTATTATAATTTGCAGAACACCGAAAAATAAAAGGTTCCGAACACATTAGTAGGGGTGCTCCAAATGTTTCTCTGAAAGATACGAATGTTGTTCAATAAAAGTGTATTCGATTCCCATCTTTGTTGATATGGTCATTGCAATTCATATGGGAGCGCAGTGCCCAGTTCTTTAACTTCAGTTGTATATCCTCTGTTATGGATGCCCCCTTCCCTCTCTCTGACAGAAAATATAAATTGTTTTTTTTTCCTCCGATGTTTTTTTTTTATATTAATATAAAATGGTCAGTGGAATTGGTGTTGATGGCCTCCATTGTTTATTTCAAACCATTTGTCCCGATATTCTTTTGTGCAGTGATCCCATCGTTTCTCAACATAAATATTGATATTGCATATAATTCCATAGACAATTAACATGAAAAAAAAAACATGAATAGAATGCATGGGTAAGAAAATTAGGTATTATAAAAAATATCTATGATTGAAACGTTACAATCTTTCATGTGATAAAATTTATGGTATGTATATGTCGTATACTAGTATAATGAACCGAAGGAGAATTCGAGGAAAACTAACCGTTCTGTTTGAGTGTGTGCCCCTCACAAACTCAACAGAATGACAACTTTTTATAAAGGGCAACGTGTCAGCCAGTATGGAATCTTTTTCAATGTCCATAGCAGAATATAAACCGAGCGACAAGTATCCTCGGAGACAGACTGTCCTCCAGCAGAGATTCATGGTCGGTGGTTAAAATGAAAATAGTGAAGATGAAGATGATCGATGTCATAATTCTTTAAACAATACAAATTGTGAACAGGGCAAATAACATGGACTTCTGGAAGATTAGAGCCTAGGAGGAGTAAGCACCCACTGCCTAAATTCTTATAACAGCTGAGTTACCAATATTATACTTTATTTTATGTTAATGGTAATTTTTGCCAATGTTTTGTTCAAAATTAAAAGTCCTGAATTGTTTTTTGTGTGTTGTTTTGTTTGTTTGTTTGTTTGGTTTTTGTTTTTTAGGAATTACAGAGAGATTGTGCGACTTCAAGTATACAACAAAGATATTCTGGTACATGAATAAAATATGTCAAATTATTCTCAAATTAAAAATATATACATGTACGTGTATTTATAAAATACACCTTGAGTAAAATTCATGGACGTCATAATACTCAGTAAATATGTGTCAGTACATCTCTATAATTAGCAACATCTACTGTCGCCAAAGCTTGAAGTAGAACTTTGTATGTTGGCTTCTGTGCTTTTTGGCGCCATTGGTTGATATACTCTCGGCTCTGAGCGATGGATGTTCGAAAATCCATCTGTATACGCTCGGTTTCCTCGGGAGTTAACCCCAGCTCAATGGCAAGTTGGTAGCTTTTTTTACCTAATCTGTTGCAGATGATATCGATACCTCTGTTTGAAACTTGTTTGTCCAGATACTTGTTATCTGTAATAAAAAAAAGAGTTTAAAATGTAGGACTGATCTTTTTAAAATATATCTGATTTAGTGAGTATGTACTTGAAAGGGAATGAACAGGAAGCATGATACACAGATATCCGTTTCCTGCTTCTCGAACTTACTACATGTAGTATAAAGAAAAAACACGAAAATGTATCGAACAGTTGAAAAACTCATACTTAAATTGAATTTCTTCAAAAGAAAAACCCTTTGTGCAAATTAACTTTTTCTTAAACAGTATTGAAAGCATAACTTGTAACTATATATGAACTGTTTGCAACAAAGGGAAAACATTTTATCATATATTGTAAACTAAAACATATGAAAAATTAACAAGAGCACAGCAGTATGTTGCTTCTTGTGCGCGCAATTGGTTACATTTATTTTCCGGATGCATCTGATAAGTGGTGAACGGCTACAGCGAATCAAAAAATGATATCAATTTAATTAATTTCAATTTCAATGAAGAGTTTTGTCAGACTATTAAAGACTATAATCCGCTAAACAATATTACTATGATACTGGTCGCCTGCGTGGCGCAGTGGTAGAGCGTCTGTTCTAGAGTCGCGAAGTAAGGAGTTGATCCTTACGTCACGGGGTTCGAATCCCACTGTGGGACGTGGAGACCGGTCCAATCGGATGAGACCGTATAAACCGAGGTCCCGTGTCGCAGTAGGTGCTGGCACGAAAAAGATCCCTCACTGCTCAATGGCCCTGAGTGCCGAGTATAGGTTAAAAATTTGCAGCTCTCCACCGGCAAGTGGTGACCTCTCCATATGAGTGAAAAAATTCTCGAGAGAGACATTAAACAACATTCAAACAAAAAAGTCTGTTACTGTTTCTTCGCTCTTTGTCTGAAATGCATACAAAATTGGTACTGATCAGTGTAGCCAACATTCACATACAAATATATCATATAGGTTATATCAACATCATATTATTGATCCAATGAACAATACTACCACTACTAAAAATGACCATAATGTTTCGGAAAACTTCAGAACTATCTCAACATGAATCAGATCTTTCTTTCTGTTTGACTCAATATAGATGCAATAACTCTTCATAAAACAAAATATCTAACTCAGAAAGAAAAGGTTAGATTTTTTTAGGGCGTGGAATTTATTTCCCCAGACCATGTTAAGTTCAAACTAATAGAGTAAATATCGCCAATAACAGCTGGTTAGATAACCTTTGCAGATGACCAACTTACCTTCCCACTCAAGTTCCTCTGCTTCTAACTGCAAAAAAGGAAACAAAACTCTTGACATATACTACACTTTAAAACGTTTTTAAAGTTGACATCTGAATTATAGGTACAAACACGTGTACTTTTTACCGTTTGCAAAGTTTCGCGATCAATGTAGACCTTTGCAAACACATCGTCTAATGTCCTGAGTATTCTCTTTTCTTCTGGAGACTTGTCATACCACGTCCTCAACACGTGAAAGCATTGATCTGACGCCAGGTGAGGGAAGTTCCGCTTGGTTGTCTCCACAAAGTTGTCACCAAGCTGAAGGTTATAAGCTATTTCCTCCCAGTAGCCAGAAACTCTTCTGGCAAGACGGCCTAGGGTCCTATATGGCATCTTTATTGGCATCTCGAGAACAGACACTGATCCTAGAAAAAAGTGATTTTTTTATCTGCAAAGGACCTGATTGTTACTCTTATTTTTCTGATACTAGGTAAATAATTCGCATTACTTACTTTTTACAGACGATGTCAAATTATCTGCATTTATTGTCTGCAAAAATAATACAGTAAATTTAATAATGATTCACAAGTTGTGTGGGTACTCGTGAATAGTGGTGGTGGTGGGTGGAGGGTTAGAGGTTTAAAATGACATCGACTAAAATGCATGAACCTAAGAACTAAGTATGTCATGAGACAAAAAAAATATAGATGTACATGTATTTATATTTTACGAATTGACCTTAGTAAAAACTTACATTGGGCCATTCCCAGTAAGCAAGCATGTCGTCTGACTCAATAACATGAACGTTGTCATGGTCAGCACAAACCACACTTTCATTTGATTCCAAGTCTCCCCACAGGTGAAGCCCCTTGAAGGTTGTGTCAGACGATATGCATTGGCTGCACTGAACAACAATGCTAAAGGGAAAATTTGCATTGCATTTTCTACAGTCTGCACACCTTTTAGTGAGTTTATGGTCCGGACAGGCACTACAGCTAGTATATATCTCCAAAATAATGGTAAGACTCTCCTCCAAGAAGTTTTTGATAGTGTAGTGAATCGAGGATTTTTGGAATGGGGTATTAGAAAATCTCAACACCCAAGCTCGAATGAGAAAGTCGTCATGAGCAAGTAGTAGAAAATTGAGCTTATCCAGTCGGAAGACCGCAGTGTTTGCGAAAACAAGTGGAACATCATTCTGTTCTACAGCTGGAAACTTAGCCATACAAGCCGCCAACAAGCGATAAAATACAGCCGGTGGCATGAACTCATCCTTGAAGTAGAATCCCAAGGCTGGAATATTGTTCGTGGACTTCAACCACTTGGCTCTAACCGTGGGTGAACCCATCATACAAGGATTAAGAAAAGTGGTCATTTCTTGAACTGCCTCTCCGTCTTTCATATAACGTTTAGGTCGTGATAAATCCAAACTCATCAAGCATGGAACAAGAAATGTTGTCATTTCTTGCTTTGATTCTCCGCCTTTCATATAGCGTTTAGGTCGTGAGATAATGTCCATCCTCTCCAGAATCTTGATGATGTGTTCTTTATTCTCTAAATAGGATCTGTCTTCTCTTTCACTCCATAATGTTTCAATGATTTCCATGCTCAAATGTCCAGTTTTCTTCACTTCTTCGAGAAGTGATTCCGAAGGAGACAATCCCAGAAATTTTTCAGAGGTGATAAAACATTTAAAAGCATCCACAAGCCATTGCGGATTTAAAATAATGATATCATCTAAACCCTTTTCGTCGTAGTACAGCATATTGCCAATTGCATGATGGAACTGCAGAAAAACTTTGACTGCTTTCTCATCCTTCAAATTTAAGGTACAAAATCGGTTCAGCTGTTTTACTTCTTTGAAGTTCAATACTTTCTTTCCCTCTTTTCGAAGATCCATGATTTTTCGCTCCAAATAGATCCAGCTAGTCGGAATTTGCTGTGACAGGATATCTTCGCTCTTTGCTATGTCTAGAATTTTAGATCGTATTTTGTCCAAAGTCTCCTCATCAGGATCATTGCAGTCCACGCAAAACATTTCAGGAACAAGATGAGGTGAAAGCATTTTCTTTTTAACCACTCTCTTTATCTCTCTGTGATGCTCTTCGATTTCTTTTTGGGCATTCTAATGGATACATTTGAGTATATTTACAAAGAGTTACCGGATTCATGAGAAATTATCATAAGCAAGTTTATTGATAATCTTACCTTTGTTTTATCCTTGTGCGTTGACACGACTAGGACCTTTGGAGACCCCCTTTGTGATTCAGGGCAATATGTATGAATAGTATTTAACCAAAATTTCAGGAAGTCTGTAATCAAACGTCCTATGTTAAGTGAAGCAATTTACAAAATAAGAAAAGGTTGGGAAAAAAATTCAAGTTTCTATTTGTATGTCCTCTTTTTGACACTAAATAAAAAGTAATCTCGATCTCCCTTTAAACATAACACCCATTTTATTAGATATTTAAAGTGAATATTGTAAACGAATGAGGTGCAATTCTGTGGCAAATGCAGCCTTGTCCAATATATTCCTTCAAAAATGTTTATACTCCGTAGATGCTTAAGAATATATGTTCAAGAAACACATCTTTTCGTCATGATTAAAAAGGCTAGAAATGTGAGGAAGAGTATCGACTTGAATTGCTACATATAATGAATGTTTACATCAATTTTGTAGAAACTGGGATTTGTGTCCAAAATTTGACAACTGTATTAATGTGTCTTTCTTAAAAACAAAACCTGTAGGTCCCAAAAACGTGCGAAGTACACATTTTGCCTCCCATAGACTTGCGCCAAGATTGATTGATTGATTGTATATTGTTTTACGTCCCATTCAAGAATTTTTCACTCATATAGAGACGTCACCATATACCGGTGAAGGGCTTCAAATTTTGACCTTTACTCGGCACTCAGGGCCATTGAGCAGTGAGGGATCTTTATCGTGCCAACGCCTGCCGTGACACGGGGCCTCGGTTTTTAAGGTCTCATCCGAAAGACCCGCAACTTTCACTCCAAAGTGCCGAGCGCATGGCGAAGGAACAGTTGCTACCTATTTTTTATCGACTTAGGTCTGTCGCGGCCGAGATTCGAACTCACGACCTCCCGATCACGGAGCGAGCGCTCTACCGACTGAGCTACCGTGAACGGTAAAGATGAAATGTTAAGATAACAAAAAGTGATCATTCTCAAAAGTCCATTTAAACTATACAAATTATGAGCAGAGCCAAGAAGGACATGTAAAAACAGAGGTGGGATCAGGTGCCATGGAAGAATAAACATCCCCTGTTGACCGGTCACATCCACCGTGTGCTCTTGTCATTATCGGGTAAACAGAAATTCAGTGTGAAAATAATGGCCTCACAATTTTTTTGAAAGATATCGGTCAACATTCAACTTAACGACAGATTGTACATGTATTTGCAAGGTCATTGAAGCAAACATTGTTGAGTTCATTATATCATCAACTTATTTGTCAATATCCTGCCTCATTTTAGAAATTGTTCATACATACAACGTGCTCTTGCTTACGAATCAACAGGGATATTCAGGTAAGAAGTATACTGCTAAATAACGAAGAATGGCGATAGAAAAGTTGAAGTCATCAAGTGTATTATAAATTAAGTTGTAAGTTTGCCATCAAAATCTTTCCCTAGTAAAACACCCAGATACAAAACAGATGTGTCAGACTCTCGTGTCTTTTATTTTGAGTTCAATGGAATATAAAAAATCAATGTAGGAATGAAACTGGATATTGTTACTGTAGATTCCTTATTTTACGCAAATACTTAATATCACGAAATGGCTCTTTGCTGCCAAATTGCGAGAACAATAATTCGCGAGTGGCCGCTTAATCAAGAGATTTTACATGAATTTCAGCCCCATAAAAATAAAAGCGAGCAATTTTATTTCGCGCGTGTTCCTTCTCGCGAAATTACGCGATAATTAATTCCTCGAGTATATTTAGGAATCTATGTAGTAACTGATAAAACGTCGATATACATGTACTTAAGAGTCGAATTGAAGGCCACAGCAAGAAACTTCTTTTCGTATAGACGTTTTTGAATAAATTCTGCTTCATATGAGTACAAAACCAGGTCTGTTAATTACAGGGCACAATTAGTATCCATGGGAATTCCATCTGATTTACAAATTTAAATTGAAAAATTCTAAATTTTTGTATAGGACACTACATAGATATTGTCTATGAGAAACTTAGGCATCTTTTTAATTTCAATCTCGGAGATGTGTATAAGTCACAAGTCCCTTATATGCACATATACTGGTGGTTATAAAAAAAACCTCACCTCCCACAGACTTATGTCCAGAGGTGTTTTGGCAGTCGTCATCATCTGTGATGACATGATCCATCGGTAGAGACACATCTGTCACCAGAAGATAAACAGCTTTGGAGGACATAAAGGCCTGGTGAGTGGTTTGAAATACCGTCTGTCCAGCAAAGTCCCAAAATGTGATGGAACCTGTTTCGTTTTGAAGAAATTTGGAGGACATACGCAGTACCTGTTATAAGAAAAGCGATGTATCCATCTACAACTTTAATTAAATCTTGGAATCAAACGAAAGGAAAGAAAGCAGGAATATCTAAAATACTTCATACCTCCTCCAAGTCTTCTTTGAGTGCCTGTGCGTTTTCTACGTGATCAAAGTCAAAGGAAGACGATCTTTGTGCAGTCTTGTCATTTTCGTTTCCAACATAGTCACTATCCTTTATATCATCAGGAGACTCAGGGGTTGTAATGGAATTTTCATTTGATGTAGCAAATTTGTTTTTAAGATCTAGAATAACTCTGGTGAAATTATTACTATAACTTCTGTCATCATCACTAGTATCATCATCATCCGAATCGCTAGAGGACGACTTGCTCCTAACAACGGATACTCGTGGATCTGGAAACGACCTTGGTGATGAAGTTGGCGTCAAATAATCACCTGTTATCTGTGCTTTTTCTGCCTTTCGTGATACTAGAGAGGGGTTTCTATGGGGTACTGATGTCCTTTGACTTCTTGGAGAATGAACATAAGACGTACCAGATTGCCCTGATTTATTTGGAATTGTAATAGGTCGGCTTTTATCAGCTCTTTCAGAAAAAGTGCTGCGAGATGGTGCAGCTGGTTTTCCTAGACTTGATCTATCGGAATAATAACTTGATTTTTTTTCTTCGGTTTCCATTTTCTGGAAGTCTTTTATTGAAAGATATGTAGGAATACCTTCTGGAAATCTCTGTGTCAGGTACCTTGCTATTCTTTCTAGTTTTTCGTTTTCATTCTCTGCAGCAAAAGAATAAGTAGTTAATGAATGCCATTCCCCCTTAAGTTGTGGTGCTTATAAGCTTTGACAAAGTAACATGCAATATTTCTTGTACGTCACCCACCTATTCTTAAGCACTTAGAAATACAATGTAACCTGCTAATATTAAAGCAACTTGGTAAATAAAAATTTTGCTATCTTTAGAAAAATAAAACAGTACAAGTTTTGTACTTAATTTTTATATGAGAAAGGAAATGGACAAAGATCAAACAAAATTGATTATTTTAAGGTTTGTTAATTGCATATTTTACAGAACTACAAACAGTTTCCTCTTGCTGAGCGAAACTGGTGTTCGATAGATGTAGGATGTATTTCCCTCGAAAATTGATCCGGAGACTCGAAGAAAAAAAATCTCAACCCTCCTTAGAAACTTGAATTTAGGTATATGTATCTGATTAAAATTTTGATTTGATAGTCACCTAATATTCTTTTTTTTTTTTTTTTTTTTTTTTACGATTTTTACAGTCGGTATGGGAATTCCATGGGGTACAATTTTACAAAATATCTATATATATATATTTTATTCTGTTTTGAAACTAAAGACTGTTTTTAAAATATTTACACAATAGAGGACCATATTTGTAGGCTAACGGATAAATATTTCTTATCAAACTCGGCAGTGCTTAAATCTTTGATTCTCTTATCATATTTTAGTGGCAAAAGTGATAGATTGTCCTCAAATAGACAAGACTTTCAAGAAATCACAAAAAAGGTTGAGATTAAACGGGGGCTTTGCTGGACGCTGACATACGAGTGAGGGTAACGTACATCCCCTCGGAATTTTTTTTTACTTCGCTTTATTCATCATTAATAAATGCAGTCGAAGGTTTTCATTTCGATAATAACTTTTTGCTGTGGAAGATTTTTTAATGAAATGTTGAGAGGATGGTTACCTATCTGCTCTGAGGGTTGTGTTACAAATACTCTAACGCAATGCATAAAAAAGACAATTCATATGAATGGTTGGTGTAATAAGTAAAATTTCACATTCAAAAAAAAATAAAAAATAAAATAAAATAAAATAAAACCGTGTCCATTCAACAATAGTCGTCATTGAAAATTTAAAGTGATTCTTTCAACCTCGTCAAATTATGAATTACTTACGATATATATACCTAGAAATATATAAAGAATTAGCCAATCGCAAAATCACCTTGTTTGTCGTCACACTTGATCCATTTGTGGTCACTGAGCTGAAAGCGCCCTCTTTTGGTGTAGATCTCCACTCCGTCCGTGCTTTGGACCTCTTCCATGCTTTCCCTCAGCAGACGTTTAGTGAGGCTTGATTTTCCCGCGCCATGATGACCAACAACCATCACGCGTACATGATGATAGTTTTCAAACCCTTCCTCTAGTGCATCACGAAATATTTTGATAGCTGACTCATCCATTGTTTTAATGCTGTGTGGAAGATGGTGCTCCAAAACATCTATTTATCAATTATTAATTAACAATATTTTTTACGTATCATTCAATATTATGATGATTATTTTTATCATGTACATTATTTTATTTTTTTATACAATCATCTAAATCGTCCATACAGTATATAACTGGGCTTAAATTACTATCGTGGACGACAGAACTTTACACAGCGACACAGGTCCAAATGGTGGGAGTTGCAGGCCTTGTTAATTTTGTAATATAAGGGTACATCTTTATGTTTTATTTACTGATTAAGATGGAGCGCCTATGGGTAAACAGTTACTTTATACTATCTACTGACCTGTGTCAACACCATTGTATCCTTCTCTGTTCAGAACCTTAAAAAACAGTAAAAAACAAATACTGATGATATCTCTGACAGGTCATACATAAGAAATGATTAGACAGGTTTAGAGACTATATGAAAAGTACTACAGTGTATGTACTAACTGTAAAACACTCATTCTAATGTCAATCTTGAACTCTCTCGTCAAAAACGGAATTAATAATACATGACAATTGAGGATAATGGAACTGCTGGGCAAAAGTAACAATGTAAATACGAATATCATAGAAAATCTCGTTAATTGTACTGTGGTATTTTTACCTTAAGGTCCATTAAGTCTCCATGATTTCTATACTTTTCCTCGATGCTTTTTGCAAGGGCCATAAGTTTTGGTTCTTTACACTCCAAAGCCTCAAACATATTATTCTACAAGGAACAAAATTAATATTTAAACTTAAAGAAATAAAAGCCAGCTCCTAAGACATATCCAGAGAAAAAATCTTTGGAGCAGACTCTTATAGTGTAAAATGCTAAATGGCATTCGGAAAATTAGTGTTAAATACATGTCTGTGTATACGTTAAAAAGTCAACGAACACTCTTGGTAGCTTCTAAATTCATTTCATGATTCGATACTTTTTTGAAGAAGAAAAATATATAAAATATATTGAAACCTCATCATGATCGACAATGCATGCAAACACCCGAATTCAAACAATTCCTTTCATGCAGCATACCGTATATCCGGATTTTTTTTCGCGATGATCTATTTTTCGCATCTTTGCGATCATTTTTAATTCGCAAAAAATAAAACACGCAGAAATTATGTCGGTTATTGTGTGCCATAAAAACATTACCATTTTTTAATCGTAAAAATTGACTTACGGTAAATAAAAACTGTACAAATCTACCCTTTTTTCGCAAAATTTCAAACACGCGAAAAAAAACCGGCTATACGGTATTTGATGTTGCTGTTGTGACCTAAATCCTCTGGTCACCATTTTTTCACCAACCTTGAAGTCGATTAGCCTATGGTCGAATCTGTTGGTGCTGTCTGATTTTTTCACAAACATACTCGATATAATCAATGTTCCTGGTTGCGAATTACTATCTCTGATCAGGAAGGGACTGTAGCTATTCCTTTTCTGAAAACCCTCCCGAAGAACTCTCTCTGCATCGGTACGACCAAGCAATCCATGGTAACAACTAGTGAAGAGTAATTTGTGAATTATAAGATAAATCAAGAAGGGATAACTGATAAAGATCTCTTGCTAATAAAACGTCTTCCACCGACGATGATCACATAACTCTTGATAGAATATGCTAGGAAGTTAACTTCTAAAATATGTATATATCACATATTTAAAAATCCCCCTCCCCCTTAAAAAACGAACAAATGAACAAAAACAAAGAAAAACAAAACCAACCAACCAACAAAACGAACAAAATGAAATAAAATAAAACTAAACGAAACAAAGCAAAAAGGAACAAGCGAACAAACAAAGAACCGAACACGGACGAACAAAACAATGCTTCAAGCGTTGAGGGAACTTTTCTTACCAATAGTGATCCAAATGCATGGTTGACAATTGTTGATACTATTAAAGACTTTAGGTTACAGAAATTTACGAAATCTATGAATAGTTAGATCTTATTGACCACATGATAAAAAGCTTCTAAAAATGAATGTTACCGATCCTTGTACTTGCGGGGCCATGGTATGGGATACATAAGGTGGGAGAGGGCCGTCTCCTTAGTATATACGGATCTAATGCCGTCTTTCCCTACAGCCGTTAGTCGATACTGTTCTACGAGGTCCAGGAGACTGTTAGCCTTGGCACTTCGGACAGTGTATACTTCTTCATCCTCTTTATAGCGAACACGGTACTGGTATATTTCCATCTTCCACCTTTAATGTTAGCACAGTACGCAATATAAAAAAAGTAAAGGCAAAATATTTTAAGTAACCGTAGGTTCACGTAGAAGAATATGAACATTCGTTACCATTATCATCTGAATGGTTAAAAACAATACTTTTATACAAATATAGATTAACAATAACTAAAAAACAAGAGGTCCATAGGCCACATCGCTCACCCGAGCAAATTGGATAGGAAAAAGCAGAAATCAGTGTAGCATTGAAAAGATTCAATATAGAAGTAATATTAAATACCCCCTCCTCCCCCGAGGAAAAGGGGGCATGATTTGTTCACAAATGAATCTACACTAACTGAAGGTGCTTCAATAATTCTTTGACTAATCATGGCTTTAGAACTCTTTATGCCCCTGTATCGAAGATAGTTTTTGCCATGTGCGTCTATCTGTCTACAAAAACTTTGACATTGTCCATAACTTTTGATTGGTTGGAGCTATAGCTTTCATATTTCACATGTGTATTCCTTTCTTTGGGTACCGCAATATTTAACCTTTTGACCTTGACCTTGGTGTTTGACTCAGTTTTGCAAAATTTTACTGAACTTTAACCTTGGCCATAACTTTTGAACGGTTGGAGCTAGGGCTTTCATACTTCACATATGTAATCCTTGTGACAAAACCTTCCTTTGGATACCAACAACTCTGACCCTTTGACCTTGACCTTGGAGTTTGACCTACTTTTGGAAAACGTTAAGTCTTGGCCATAACTTTTGAACGGTTGGTGCTAGGGCTTTTATACTTCACATATGTAATTCTTGTGACAAGACCTTTCTTTGGAAACCAACAAACTTTACCCTTTGACCTTGACCTTGGAATTCGACCTACTTTTGAAAACCTTTAACCTTGGCCATAACTTTTGAACGGTTGGTGCTAGGGCTTTCATACTTCACATATGTAATTCTTGTGACAAGACCTTTCTTTGGATACCCAAAATTGTAATCCATTGACCTTGACTTTGACGTTTGACCTATTTTTGGAAAACTTTAACCTTGGCCATAACATTTGAACAGTTGGTGCTAAGGCTTTCATACTTAACATGTCCATTCCTTGTGACAAGATCTTCCTTTGGATGCCAACAATTGTAATCCATTGACCTTGACCTTGGATTTTGACCTACTTTTGGAAAACGTTAACCTTGGTCATAACTATTGAACGATTGGTGCTTCAGCTTTCATATTTCTCCTGTATATTTCTTGTGAAAAGGCCTTTTCTTACGCACTATTAATTTTGACCATTTTGAACTTTTGAACGATTTGTGCTACGGCTTTCATATTTCACATGTGTATTTCTTGTGAGAAGATCTTTCCTTGGGCACCATTAATTTTGACCATTTGACCTTGACCTTGATGTTTGACTTACTTTTGAAAAAACTTCAACTTTTTCCATATCTATTCAATGGTTGCTGCTAGGGCATTCATATTTCACAGGTATATTTCTCGAGAATTTACTTTGGGTGGCAACATGTTTTATTTGCATTTGAGAAAGTTTTGCCTTTGCTATAAGTTGTCTTACGGGGGCATCAGTGTTTCACAAACACATCTTGTTTTCTATATGTTTGATCTTCTATTGTGACCCTGCCTACCCCCGGGAAACATGATTTGAACAAACTTGAATCTACACTTCCCGAGGATGCTTCTGAATTAATATGACTAATCATGGATTTGCTGTTCTTGGGAAGAAGATTTTTAAAGATATTTCCTATATATTCCAATGTAAAAACCCCATTGTGGTCCCACCCTACATCCAGCAGTCATGATTTGAACAAACTTCAATCTACACTACCTTTCATACAGATATGACTATTCATGGCTTTGCTGTTCATGAGATGAAGATTTTAACGATTATCCTATGTATTCGCATGTAAAACCTTGATCACCCATTGTGGCCGCTCCCTTCCCCTGAGGGTCACGATATAAACAATTTGAATGTAAACTACCTTAGGATGCTTCATCATATAATAATATGACTAATCATGGCTTTGTTATTCTTGAGAAGATTTTTCCTATGTATACTTACAGAGGTATGTTAAACTTGATCGCCCATTGTAGCCCCTCCCTATTCCCTTGGGTCATGATTTGAACAAACTACTACTACTACTCTACCTGAGAATGTTTCTATATAAATATTACCAATCATGGCTTTGCTGTTCTTGAGAAGATGATTTTTAAAGATTTTTTATATACATTCCTAATTTAAACTTTGTTCGCCCATTGTGACACCACTCTAGTCCTAGGGATCATGATTTGAACAAACTTGAATCTACACTACCCAAGGATGCTTCCACATAAATATCACTAATCATGGCTTTGCTGTTTATCAAGACCTTAAACGATAACTTTCCATATTAAGATAATAATTCTATTTCTCGAGACAAGGAAATCCTGTCTATTCAGGGAATTCCTGTTATTGAAAAATTAAAAGCCAATAGATATAAAGAAAAAGTATAATCTGATAAATGTCATGATTTGAAACATTCCGTTTATTCATAGGATAAAAATACCCAACAGAGTAATACTATACAATTATTGCTGTTTTTGAGGCCAATATGAGGATTTAGCCACCTGAGGAGTACAATATTGTACTTCGAATCGTATTGACCTAAAAAACAGCAATCATTTTTTTTTAATTATATGATTCATTGATTATATGATACAGTCTCATTAAGTAATCCATTTTTAAATCTGTTTTAGATGCAATGTAAATAAATTAATGTCAGGCACATAAAAAGAATCGATTTTGAAAGGGGGCATTATAAGGAAAAAAATGCCAAGTTACCCGAAAAAAATCTTTGACCACACCCCCCCCCAAAAAAAAGAGGATAATTCTCCCAATTTATTTTACATTTTATTTCGGGGGAGGGGTATTTAGGTCCATTAGCAGGAGGGGGACCAGCCTTTCAATGAACATGTTTATACTAAACTAAAAGTAAAACAAGATGTGTTTGTGAAACACTGATGCCCCCATATGGCAGCTTATGGCAAAGGTTAAAGTTTCTCAAATGCAAGTCAAAATACAGGCCAAAAGATAAAAAAATATTGGTACCCAAAGAAAGGTCTTGTCTCGAGAAATATACCTGTGAAATTTGAAAGCCCTAGCTGCAACTGTTCAAAAGTTATGGCGAAGGTTAAAGGTTTTTAAAAGTAAGTAAAACGTCAAGGTCAAGGTCAAAGTTGTTGGTATTGAAAGAAAGGTCTTGTCACAAGGATTGCATATGTGAAGTATGAAAGCCCTAGCACCAACCATTCAAAAGTTATGACCAAGGTTAAAGTTTTCGAAAGTAGGTCAAACTCCTATGTCAAGGTCAAAGGGTGAAAGATGTTGGTATCCAAACGAAGGCCTTGTCACAAAGAATACACAAGTGAATTTTAAGACCCCAGGCATGAACTGTTCAGAAGTTATGGTCAAGATTAAAGTCTCATAAAATTTTGCAAAAGTGGGTCAAACTCCAAGGTCAAGGTCAAAAGGTCAAATATGATTGTACCCAAAGAAAGGTCTTGTCACAAGGAATATACATGTGAAATATGAATGTCATAGCTTCAACCAATCAAAAGTTATGGGCAAGGTTAAAGTTGACAACAGACAGACAGACAAACGGACAAACAGACAGGACAAAAACAACGATCTCGGGGGCATAAAAATATGTTCAGATAAAAAGTGTGGGAAGGGAGGCAGGCCCTCTGCCCCCCACACCCACCCCAGATTCTATATGCCTCAATGTTATGTTCGCCTAAGTGGAAGTCAGGTGCAAGTAAAATAACTTTCCAAAACTGTTTGTATCAATTTAGTATTTACAATCTTTTTTGGTCCAGTGTAGAAAAATAAATCCAAACGTTCATCTGGAAGGTCATGTGCAGGTGAACATAACGTATTACCTTTAAAAATTGTTTCCTATATAAATCTATACTAAACAAGATGTGTTTGAGAAACACTGATGCCCCCGTATGGCAGCTTATGGCGATGTTAAATTTGAAAGCCCTAGCTGCAACTGTTCAAAAGTTATGGCGAAGGTTAAAGTTTTTTTTAAAAGTAGGTCAAACTCCTAGGTCAAGGCCAAAGGGTCAAAGTGGTTGGTATCCAAAGGAAGGTCTTGTCACAAGGATTGCATATGTGAAGAATGAAAGCCCTAGCAAAAACCATTCAAAAATTATGGCCAAGGTTAAAGTTTTTCAAAAGTAGGTCAAACTCTTATTTCAAGGTCAAAGGGTCAAAGATGTTGGTATCCAAAGGAAGGTCCTGTCACAAGGATTACACATGTGAAGTATGATAGCCTTAGCTCTAACCGTTCAAAAGTTATGGCCAATGTTAAAGGTTTTCAAAAGTAGGCCAAACTCCTAGGTCAAGGTCAAAGGGTCAAAGAGGTTGATATCCAGAGGAAGGTCTTGTCACAAGAATACATATGTGAAGTTTGAAACCCCAATCACCAACTGTTCAAAAGTTATGGCCAAGGTTAAAGTTTTTCAAAAGTAGGTCGAACTCTAAGGTCAAGGTCAAAGTTGTTGGTATCTAAAGGAAGGCCTTGTCACAAAGAATACACAAGTGAAGTTTGTAACCCCAAGCACCAACTGTTCAGAAGTTATGGCCAAGGTTGAAGTCTCATAAAATTTTGCAAATGGGTCAAACTCCAAGGTCAAATATGATGGTACCCAAAGAAAGGTCTTGTCACAAGGAATACACATGTGAAATATGAAAGTCATAGCTCCAACCAATCAAAAGTTATGGGAAAGGTTAAAGTTGACAACAGACAGACAGACAAACAGATAAACAGACAAACAGGCAGGCAGGACAAAGACAATATACCCCCGGGATCTTTCGATCTGGGGGCATAAAAAGCTAACATTTCCAATGTTTAACTGATCGGTTTATAAAAAATCGATGATGTTTGACCGCAGAGTGAGATATTGGACCTGTCGATGAGATGTTGGATCGCTTACGTCACACGATGGGCGGGATCAGTTAAATCTTATTTGCATTCGTTGGTGTGCGAATGTGACAAAATTGACCAAGTTTTAGTGCAGGTAAGGGAAATTTACATCATGGAAGCCAACACAAGGTACATGTTTGTCAATAATAATAATAATAATAATAATAATAATAATAAAAGGTACATTTATTGACTGTTTTCTGGTTAAATGCTTTTTGTCGACCCCTCGAACCAAACTGTTGCGTGAGGCCGTTAGGCCGAAAGCAAACAGTTTGGATCTTGGGTCCGACAAAACGCATGTTGTCCACGAACTGAGTCATTAAATGTATGGTATTTTTTCTACAGTGTCGGATCTCAGCCAGTCAGAGAAATAAATATTACTAGTATTCAATCATACATTAAATGTATATTTTACATGTTTATATGGCATATGAACATATTTGCAAAGGAAGGCACTAATTGTGTTAATATTGATAAAATCACCAGATCCCCAGAAAGCGAATTCTGTTATAATATCAAAAAGTGTATCAGCTTCAGGAGTTGTTCCACCCTTACTTGCAGGAAATGACGTATTTGATGTCCTCCCTGTGCTTCCCGTACGGGTGCACCAAAAAGAGAGATCCACTATCCATTGGTTCGTATGGATACTCTTTCAGGAACGTCTTAGCTGAATCTTCTGTTTGGTCAGGATGATACCAGTCATAAATACTTATAAAAGGAGAATAAAGAAGTTAAATTCCTTCAATAAAATTGGGTAAAAAGCCATTTATTAGATATTCTGTTAAAAAAAATGTGAACACACAGGCACCTGACGGTACTTATTTTTCTTTTAAGAAAAAAAATATACCCCTACCTATATAATCAACAAGGGTTGATTATATAGGTAGGGGGTATATTTTTTATTTTAAGAAAAAATAAGTAACATAAGGTGTCTGTGTTTGAACACTATACAGAGTGGTCATTATCTTGAATTAATAAATAAAAACATCACCATTATTACATGTACATCTATCATAATGACACTTCAATAATAATAATAATAATTTTCATTTTCATTATTTTACTGCAAAGGAAATATTTAATGTTGTTGATCAGGACACTTTAAAAAATTAACAAGATTCTTTTTCAAACAGTTTTTGCATTAGATTAGACATACTGTAATTTGTTATGTTTGTTAGTTTTCTCAGACCAATAATGGCTTAATATTCATGTGGAAATTGAAAGTAAATCTAAACGCTGGAAGACAGATGAGCTTGTCAAACAGCAATGATATCTTTGACTGTATAGACATTGATTACCGTAATAATTTTTAAATTTAACAGATGCTTATTTATGGTATACACGACTGACATTGTTGATTCATGTATACATAGAAATGAAGTGGATAGCCTATTTTACTCTCACCGTTGGAAATGCGATGTTCATGTTCTTCATGGGCAAATCATCACAAATGGATATAAGTTTGCTTAAAATTCGTGTCCCTTTGAACTCGAAATAAAGACAGCAAAAAGACACATTTTTTTCATTTTTTTGGTTAAACTAAAAAATCCTTAGTTTGATGGCAAACTAACAAATGAACTTTATTATAAAAGTTATGACTTCAGCTTTTCTAGTCATATTCCCTTACTTATATAGTAATAAACCATTATCACCTGCATATGTTTTTTAGCCTACCAGTTGATTCGATACGCAAGACTGTGTTCTACTTTTGAACAATTTCTAACCCAAGGCAGGCTACTGATAATTACATTAATGATACAAGGATATCAACAATATCGTTTGAAGTCAACATTTCGCAAATTCTAGGGTAAACACAATGACCTGGTTTGCATACAATCTGTCGTTGGTCAAATGTTATCAGATGTTTTTAATACAAATTGTTAGGTCATAATTTTCATACTGAATTAACACAGGTTATTCCGTTTACCTGATCATGACAAGGAGTTCATGGTGGGAATGACCGGTCGACAGAGGATGCTTTCTCCTCCATGGTACTTGATTCCATCTATGATGTTTGCTCTGCTCTCAGGTCGTATTGTTTAATAGGACCTTTGAGCATGATTACCGTTTCTTAACCTTGCATTTCTTTCAAAAGCAAAATTCAAATTTATCCACCTTTTAAGGTAGGTTGCGGGGTTGGTGACCTTTTAAAATTGCTCGAAAACATACCATGGAAATTACATCTATGAATTTACTCGGCACTCATGCCCTGAGTCTTAGGGCCATTGAGCAGTGAGGGTTCTTTATCGTGCCAACGCCTACCGTGACATGGGGCCTCGGTTTTTAAAATCTCATCCGAAGGACCTGCAACTTTCACTTCAAAGTGCCGAGCGCTTGGAGAAGGAATAGTTGCTATTTATCGACTTAGGTCAGTCGCGGCCGTGATTCGAACACACGACCTTCCGATCACGAAGCGATATAATATTGATCACTGTTCGTAAGCTTCACATTTTCGTTCGATATTTTTTTCTCTCCATGTGGTGAGAAGATGATGTTTCATTTTTATTATTTCCCCCTTTATGTATATGCAGTTGAGAATACAAAAAGCAGGAAATGATTTAGGATGTCACAACTTTTTATTGACACGGAAATCAAATCCGGAGAAACTACACGTTTCTGTCATACACAAACATATCAATTATGCAAACATTCATATGTAGATTAAAGTTATTTCCTACATAATAATTTTCCTTTCAAGATTGAATTTGATGGGGAAAAGGTGTTTTTTATCAGCAGAAAAGGAACAGGATGAAAGTTTGTTCACCATGTATATATACCAAATATTTTTTTTCGGAAGAACTGAACTATCCCCGACTCTGGAAATTGTGTACATTCATTCTATTTACTCCTACATGTACCACCCATTGCCGTTGAATATTAAGATTAAATTTGTTTATAAAATACTAACATACCTTTGTATTTCCCTGTATTTCATTTTATCTTCTTCTTCATTACTGCCAGTCTTCGGTACGGTGCCTCCACGTTTTTTGTGGAAGGGAACGTATAAGTTTGACATCTTTACACAACTGCTGGAATGTTATCATTGAACGATATTATTATAAAATGAAGTGCCGGATATGTGATATGAAAGCTTAGAGGAAGTTTATTGAATGAGGAAGTTTTGGGAAAAACTTTTTTTTTCTTTTGGTTGTTAACAAATTTTAATATTTGAAATGTTCTGGGTGGAGGTACAAGTTGACATGATAACTTATAAACTTTATTTTTATCTCTGACTTAAGAAAATACAAAATTGACAAAATGATAATAGCATCATTTGTTTATATACAGGCCCGTGGCAACGGTTTCAAAAGGGGGGGGGGGCGACCTTCCAAAAATTCTGTCAAAATAGTGAAGGGGGGGGGATTCCAAAAATAATGATAATCTTACAATTTAAAGAAACAACCCCTTTACTGTCCAAATTCTGGAATTTGTCAGTTCTCGACCTTACAGCAACAAAAGAAGAAGGGGGGGGGGGGGGGAACCAGCATCTAACATCTAAATGAAAATTTACTAATTCAAAAATATTATACTCAGAAAAATGTGTGTACAGAAAAGCACTATACTACAAAAGTATTATAATACTTGCATTATAATACAAATCTTGCTGTGTGAACTAGGCTTTAAATTCTATTGTCAAAAGTCGGTACTCTCTAGTGTTTATCTCCAAAATTGTAGCATTCCTTAATCTAATTTAGCTCCTTAATTGCTATTATGTTATGATTATTTATACATGTATATACTCTTTCATCTCAAATATTTTCAAGAAAAGGTTTTTGTTTTCTGATCCTAGCTCCTTAATTACTATTATGGCCGCGACTATTATGCTATGACTTTATATATATATATATATATATATATATATATATATATATATATATATATATATATATATATATATATATATATATATATATATATATATATACTCTTTCCTCTCAAATAATTTAAAGAATGTTTAATGTTAGCAAAATAAAATCGAGATTTTCTGATCCAAGCCCACTAATCGATACTATATGTGTTATGATAATACATTGTATACACCAATTTCTCTCAAATATTATTAAGAAAACTTTATGTTTACTATGGTAAAAAAAAGTTTTCCTGATCCTGGTTCACTATTTGCACTTTGTTATAATCATATATATACTCTTTCAAATATTGTTAAGATTTTTTGTCTGATCCTAACTCACTCATTCAAATATAAATATTTAAACCAATTTTGTAATATTTCGATAAAATTGCTTTGAAATGTATAGTATCAAATGTGACGACTTTAGTTTCATTTTTGCTAAGAGAGAATTTGCGAATAAGCCCAGTTAGGTCTTACGGTTTTGCCAGACACAGTTGATATTAATGTTCTTGTTAAACCCTAGCAAGCAACATTGTTTTCATGATGCAGAACATTCTGTAATGTCAATAGACAAGGTTTTGAAATGGAAACTCCTCATAATAAATTAAGGTTAACTTTATAAATTACAATAATTATTTCTAATCACGGGAAGTTTGATTTATTCCTGATGTTAGGGTTATATTTAGTTTATTGACGACAATTATCTTTAGGATAGTCATTGGAAAGAAATACTTTATTCCAAAACCTTGTGTTTCCACTTCTGGCACGTTAATGATAAAGCAATGATTTGGACATATTCTCTCCCTTATTCTTATATGACAGTAAACGGCGTTAATGCTCAAGGGAAACATGATGAACAAACATAGTTTATAATGTTTCTTTAATATAGTGATAACAAAACAGATTTTTCATTTCTAACATGAAAATTTATCATTAAAATACAATATTTGTTTTAACAAGACGTGTTTGTGAAACACTGATGCCCCCGTATGGCAACTTATAGCAAACTTTAAACTTTCTCAAATACAAATCAAATATGTTGGTACCCAAAGTAAGGTCTTGTCTCGAGGAATATACCTGAGAAATATGAAAGCCCTAGAAGCAACCATTGAATAGATATGGAAAAGGTTAAAGTTTTTCAAAAGTAATTCAAACATCAAGGTCAAATGGTCAAAATTAATAGTGCGTAAGAAAAGGCCTTTTCACAAGAAATATACAGGTGAAATATGAAAGCTGAAGCACCAATCGTTCAATAGTTATGACCAAGGTTAAAGTGTTTCAAAAGTAGGTCAAACTCCAAGGTCAAGGTCAATGGATTACAATTGTTGGTATCCAAAGGAAGGTCTTGTCACAAGGAAAAACATCTTAAATATGAAAGCCCTAGCAACAACTTTTCAAAAGTTGTGTCCAAGGTTAAAGTTTTCTAAAAGTAGGTCAAAGTTCAAGGACAAAGGGTCAAAGTTGTTGGTATCCAAAGGAAGGTCTTGTCACAAGGATTATATATGTGAAGTATGAAAGTCCTAGCACCAACGGTTCAAAAGTTATGGCCAAGGTTAAAGTTTTCCAAAAGTAAGTCAAACTCCAAGGTCAAAGTTGTTGGTATCCAAAGAAAGGTCTTGTCACAAAGATTACATATGTGAAGTATGAAAGCCCTAGCATAAGCGATTCAAAAGTTATGGCCAACGTTAAAGTTTTTCAAAAGTAGGTCAAACTCAAAGGTCAAGGTCAAAGGATCCAAGTTGTTGGAATCCAAAGGATGGTCGTTTCACAAGGATTACATATGTGAAGTATGAAAGCCCTAGCACCAGCCGTTCAAAAGTTATGGCCAATGTTAACGTTTTACAAAAGTAAGTCAAACTCCAAGGTCAAGGTCAAAGGGGCAAAGTTGTTGGTATCCGAAGGAAGGTCTTGTCACAAGAATTACATATGCTAAGTATAAAAGCCTTAGCACTAAGCGTTCAAAAGTTATGGCCAATGTTAAAGTTTTTCAAAAGTAGGTCAAACCCCAAGGTCAAAGTCAAAAGGTCAAACATGGTGGTACCCAAAGAAAGGTCTTGTTACAAGGAATACACATGTGAAGTATGAAAGCCCTAGCACCAATCGTTCAGAAGTTATGGCCAAGGTTAAAGTTGGGAATTTTTTTTTCAAAACTGGGTCAAACTCCAAGGTAAAAAGGTCAAATATGGTGGTACCCAAAGAAAGGTCTTGTCACAAGGAATACACATGTGAATTACAAAAGCCATAGCTCCAACCAATCAAAAGTTATGGGCAATGTTAAAGTTTTTGCGGACAAACAGACAGACGGACAGACAGATGGATGGACAGGGCAAAAACTGTATACCCCCGAATCTTCGATACGGGGGCATAAAAAGAAAATAAGTACACTGTTGTTTGCATATATGAACAAGTATTTTAATCAAGTGATCAAAGAGTCAGAGAATTTTAAAAGTATCGTGTACAAATTTTTCAGGATAAATGTATATAATCATTTTACACCTTTATCAAGTTTTCAAAATAGTCTTGTTCCATTGTTATATTTTTGCCGTTATATATATATATATATATAGAGAGAGAGAGAGAGAGAGCAACTAACTGGATCTGTGAGAAAAAATATGAGCTACAAATTCAATAAATAAATGTCAGAATTTCTCTATAATTGTCAACTTCTATTTCGGCTAAAGCCTGAAGCAAATCTTTATATGTTGGGTTTTCTTTTCGGCGCCATTGGTTTATATACTCTCTACTTCGAGCGATGGATGTTCGGAAATTCTTCTGTATCTTTTCCATGTTCTCGGGAGTCAATTCTAACTCAATGGCGAGCTGGTCACTCTTTTTACCTAGTCTGTTGCAGATGACATCGATTCCTCGATTTGACACTTTTTTGTCAAGATACTTATTATCTAAGAGCAAAAGAATAGCTATTAAAATTCTAAAATTTTTGATAATGCTAAGACCTTTATGAAATATATCCTAAAGAAGAAAAGCAATAAAATTCAGTTTGAAATTAAGGCTCAATGATATCATAACCACTGCAGTGGACTTACCTCCACACTCAATTTCCATTGTGTTCAACTGAAAAAACAAAGGGAAAAGATGCATGTTACAATGTTTGGGCATTTTCATGAAGAGAAGAGATTTATATTGTATTCGTTGTTCATTACCAGACAGATGAGAGATTGTTGATTGCTATTTACCGTCTTCAAAATGTCTCTATCAATGTCAATCTTTGTGAACACATCCTCCAATGTTTTGAGCATTCCTCGTCCCTTCGGCGATTTGTCATACCACGTCCTTAACACGTGAAAGCAGCAATCCCATTCCAGATGACAGAATTCCCTCTTAGTGGTTTCCACAAAGCTATCATCAAAGTCAATACTATGTGCTATTTTCTCCCAGTAGTTAGAAACCCTTCTAGCAAGACGACCTAGGATTTTATATGACATCTTCACTGGCTTCTCCGGGTCTGACATTGTCACTTCCAAAATAAAAATTATCATGACTTTTACAATTTGAATTTAGTTGCACGCGTGGCGCAGTGGTTAGAGCGTCTGCTAGAGTCGTGGAGTTAGGAATTGATCCTTACGTCGCGGGTTCGAATCCACTATGTGACTCGAAGACCGGTTCTTAGGATGAGACCGAATAATCGAGGTCCCGTGTTGCAGTAGGTGCTGGGACAAAAAAGATCCCTCACTACCCAAAAGCCTTAAGTGCCGGGTACAGGTCTCTCCACCGACAACTCAATGCATGAGTGAAAGATTCTCGAAGGGACATTAAACAAACAAACAATTTAAAATTAATTTTTAGTATACTAAAAAAGCTATTTTCTGTACTTACACTCTAATGATTTCTTTGGATGAACTACCTGCAAATTGAAGTATACGGATTTGAACAAAAGAATTTTGAAAAATCTAAGAACAACATTCTCCAACAATACACTCTCATCATTAAATAATTTTTGCAATATCTCAGACATACTTTTGGGCATTCCCAGAAGGCAAGAATATCGGAGGACTCAATAACATGAACCTCGTCATGGTCAGAACAAACTACACTTTCGTTTGATTTCAAGTCTCCCCATAGATGGAGCCCTTTGAATGTTGTGTCAGGAGATATGCAATGGTTACACTGAAGAACAACTCTAAATGGAAAATTTGCATTGCATTTTCTACAGTTTGCACACTTTTTGGTGAGTTTATGGTCCGGGCAAGCACTACAGCTAGCATATATCTCCAAAATAACGGTAAGACTCTCCTCCAAAAACTTTTTGATAGTGAAGTGGATGGAAGACTTTTGGTATGTGGTGTTGGGAATTCTCAACACCCAAGCTCGAATGAGAAAGTCATCATGACCAAGTAGGAGAAAGTTGAATTTATCCAGTCGGAAGACTGCAGTGTTAGCAAATACGAGAGGGACATCATTCTGCTCTACTACTGGGAACTTAGCCATACACGCTGCCAACAAGCGATAAAACACAGCCGGTGGCATGAACTCATCCTTGAAGTAAAATCCCAGAGCTGGTATATTGTTTGCAGACTTCAACCACTTAGCTCTAACCGTGGGTGAATCTAAACCCATCATACAAGGAACAAGAAAAGTAGTCATTTCTTGAACTGCCTCTCCGTCTTTCATATAACGTTTAGGTCGTGCGATTATGTCCATCCTTTCCAGAATCTTGATGATATGTTCTTTATTTTCCAAAAAAGATTTGTCTTCTCTTTCGCTCCATAATGTTTCGATGTTTTCCATACTCAAATGTCCGGTTTTCTTCATATCTTCAAGAAGGGATTGTGAGGGGGATAATCCAAGAAACTTGTCGGAGGTAATTAAACATTTGAATGCATCCACTAGCCACTGAGGATTTAAAATAATGATATCATCTAGACCCTTTTCATCGTAGTACAACACGTTGCCGATTGCATGATGAAACTGCAGAAAAACTTTAATTTCCATTTCATCTTTCAAATGTAAAGCACAAAATCTGTTCAACTGTTTTACTTCCGAAAAGTTCAGCACCTTTTTCCCCTCTTTACGAAGATCCATGATTTTTCGCTCCAGATAGATCCAGCTGGTGGGAATTTGCTGTGAGAGGATTTCTTCGTTTTCTGCAATTTCTAGAATTTTAGATCGTATTTTGTCCAAATTCTCCTCATCAGGATCATTGCAGTCCACGCAAAACATTTCAGGAACCAGATGAGGTGAAAGCATTTTCTTTTTCACCACTCTTTTTATATTTCTGTGGTGTTCTTCTATCTCTGTCTCGGCGTTCTATTTAATCGAAATCAAGAAAAAATTTAAAATGGGAACATTGTTGTTTTTTATAACAAGATTATTGAATGTTAATTGATCATTTTACCTGCAATTTATCCTTGTGTGTCGACACAACAAGAACCTTAGGGGATCCTCGCTGGGATTCAGAGGAATACGTATGAATTGTATTCAACCAAAATTTTAGAAAATCTAAAAAGAAGTAATATGTATGTAACAAAACGATAACAATTAGATTTACGTGATAATCCTCATATTTGAGACCCTTTCGAAAACGTCCTTTTTATCGCTTATGGTAGAAAAATTATGAACAGTTATAAAACGAACAACAATGGTCATTTTACAAAAGGTATTCCATCACACTTACCTTCCACGGACTTATGCCTAGAGCTGCAGCGGCAGTCATCATCGTCCATGATGGGGTCATTCATCTGTAGAGACACATCTGTCACCAGAAGGTAAACAGCTTTGGAGGACATAAAGGCCTGGTGAGTGGATTGGAAAACAGTCGGTCCAGCAAAGTCCCAAAATGTGATGGATCCCGTCTCGTTTTGAAGAAAGTTGGAGGACATTTGAAGTAACTGTAATTAGAATGCATGATCAAAAAAAAATAAACAAATCAGAAGAATACATATAAATACATGTATAAACAATATATCCATACCTCCTCTAGGTCCTCTTTCAGTGCCTGTTGTTCCTTTTCAATAGAACTTCCTCTTTTTATACTATGTCTTTTTTCACCACTAACGTAATCGCTACCCTTTACTTCCTCATCCTCTGGGGTTGGAGGAGTTTGCGATTCATTTGAGGTAGCGAATTGAATTTTCAGGTCTTGGAGAACTCTGGTCAAGTGGGTGTTGTGAATTTCAAAATCGTCGTATTCATCTTCGCTATCATCAGAGGATAAACTCTTAGAGGTACTCACACGAGGATCAGGGAACGTTTTCGGTGATGTCTTGCTTATTCTCGGTTGTAATTCGGGAGATAGAAGAGATGTATTTGGCTTCATTCCGGATATTCTCGAAGCTGGGGAGGAATTTCTGTAGGGGACTCTGTTCACACATGTATAATGATCATTTTGTGATTCTCGGTAAAGCTCTGATTTTAGCTTAAATGGTGGAGGATGATTGCGTAAAAAATCAGTTTTTCTAGAATATCTCTGTGTGTTTTCATGTTTTACTTCATTCTGCTTTGGAAAAGTCGTGGGAAATTTAGTTTGCAGGTTTGCTACATTTGAATCATATGTATAATGACTTGTCTTCTCTTCCCCAGCATTTTTCTCCGTAATTTCTCTTATTGACAAGTATGTTGGAACACCCTCTGGAAATCGCTGTGTTAAATACCTAGCGATCCTTTCAAGTTTTTCGTTCTCATTCTCTGTATAAAGCGAAAGGTTTATTTTATTTTCCAAATTTTATTATGTATAAAAACGAAATAAGTAGAAACATTACCAATTCTAATGAATTTTCTCCCTTTTGTTTTAACGTTTCTAATCCTTACATTCAAAAAGTATCAAACAGAAAAATACGAACGATTACGACATATTAGCAATTGAAAAAATATAAACATTTACCTTTTATGCCGTCATACTTGATCCACTTGTGGTCACTGAGCTGAAAGCGCCCTCTTTTATTGTAAATCTCCACTCCCTCCGTGCTTTGGACCTCTTCCATGTTTTCCCTAAGCAGACGTTTAGTGAGGCTTGATTTTCCCGCGCCATGATGGCCAACAACCATTACACGGACGTGATGATACTTTTCGTGCCCCTCCTCTAGAGCCTCACGAAATATTTTTATGGCTGACGCATCCATCTTCTTTATGCTTGGTGGAAGATGGTGTTCTAGAACATCTTCAGTTAAAAAAAAACAATTTTCTCTTATGACTCTAAATATTGTTAAGCAAGTATGCAGTAATGGTTATAAGCCGAACACTGAACCAAGTTTAACAAAAGATGACGTCACAGATGCTGGAAAGATTGATGAAAAGCCAGATGCGAAAAAAGCATTCTAGATATGAAATGTATATATATATACATTGAATGAGAGAACCGCGTACGTTGTGTAATGAACCAGATTCAAATATGTATTTGTTCGCACACTGAAAAGCTGCTTCTTACATAAAATTTACTAAAGAAAAGAAAAACAAGTAATCCTTTTAAAGGTATTAATCAGAAAGTGTAGTATTCAGATGTCAAACTTGAGGCCTACGTATTAGCCAGCAGAGAATGTACAGAATACAGAACAGTCACGAATAAACTAAAGTACGGGCTAGGCTTCTTCGAAACACCAATGAACGAATAAATTTTTACTCTAAAGGGAACGGGTGTACTTCTCTTCTGGAAGTGAATGAAATGTAATATTGTTTAACAAGGAGACGTTGACTGTCTGGATACTAGTTTATGTATGTCTAATTGACAGAAATAATTAAACAATGGAAACAAACTTACGAAGATGGCAATATTATAATTGTGAATTAATATATGTATGTTATTTGAATAAAAGTTATGGCGAGTTCATGTTGCATTCCTACATTGGTCTTTACTTGTTATTGAAACTAAAGGGACATAAAACTTCATGCGAATTCACAACAAACCAAAACACTCTGATCCAGAAATGCAAAAATAATCTTGACCAAATAAATGCTTTATAAAGTTCGAATTTTTTGCTCGTTAAAATGATTTATTTTCTTCTATTTGTTTGTACAACCTGTGTCAACGCCATGGAATCCTTCTCTGTTAAGCGCCTTAAAAATAAAGATAATTGACGATGTCATACCGAATTTCACGAGGATGAAAGGTAGGGATAGAAAATAAAACAATTTTATTTTGAACTACCCATAACAAACTCACTTTTTCTTTTAATTTTAAACTCATAGGCTTTTTAAAAATACTACAATTTGTGAAAAGTTCAAAATTAGTATGAATAATAAAAGTCTGCATGGTGGTTGAAAGAAAATCAACTGATTTTTTTAAAGATAAGAGATGTTTTCAAATTTTTATTACAAACTAATAAAAGATATATTTAACAAGTAGATTTACCTTTAAGTCCATTAGCTCGCCGCGATTTTTGTACTTTTCTTCAATGCTTTTAGCCAGAGCTAGAAGACTGTCTTCCATGCAATCCAGAGACCCAAACTTGTTGTCCTACGAGGGCCAAATTGAACAGATATAAATACAGCACAGTGCTTTTAAATAACATATACCGGGTAGACGATTAAAATCTATATATATGTACGTGCATCAGTATCTAAAATTATTTGGAACTTCGGGTATAGTCATATTTTATTTCATGAACCAATAGAAATTTATAAATCTGCAATATGAAGAGAATAAGGATATCAATTTATAATTTTAATTAAGTTACCATTAAAGCTGTTTGCTGACCTTAAAGTCGATACGCCTATGGTCGAAGGTATGAGATTTGTCCGATTTTTTCACAAACATGCTCGATAGTATCAGAACCCCTGGTTCCGAGTTACTGTCTCTGATCAGGAAGGGACTGTTGATGTCCCTAGATTCAAACCCACTCAGTAGAACTTTCTCCGACTCCTCGCGACCCAACAATCCATGGTAGCACCTATTCGGAGGAAGAATCAAATAATTAGATGGTTCAGATACACTTCTAATTTGCTGACTGTGATAATTGTTAATAGTATCTAAACATCAGTAAGCTCTTTTGCTTTTTTTCATGTTCCTTGAAATATTTTACAATAGACATTCATGGATGATGCATGCTATGGCCAGTCGTGGATAAAGAGAGATAATCATCGTGAATGCGCGAGATTTCTTCTTCGAAAGACACACTTTTCCCTCTTTGATTGACATTTTAAGTTCACCTCAACGAAGTAAGCAGAACTTATATAATACCCTCCGCGTTGGCTCCCAGGTTAATAGTTTTGGAGAATTTTTTCTCCAAATACTTTTATGTCCTGTATTGACAGAGATTCATGAATGATGCATCTAGTATGTTTCATTGTACCAGTCAGATTTTTGATGCTGTATATGTATTTTCATCCAAAGAATGACCAGATAAATGTCTTAAGAGCAGGTTCAAGTTTTTGGAGCAGATCTCATTCCCAACGAAATACATGCCATATGTTGATTAAACTTGCATAGATGATACATCTAAGGATACACAATACCAGACTTGCTTCGGATGCTGGATCTGACCTATATCTAAATTTTCCAGATGAATGACCAGGTTTAAGAGTTTGAAGCAGGTTCATTCCAGTTTAGCTTTAAGACCTACCTAGACTTACATCTAAATGCACACTACCAGACTTGGTTTGGATGCTGGATCTGATCTACATGTTCCGGATGAGTGGCCAGGTTAATATTTTGGGATCAGGTTCATTTCTAAATAACTATAAGACTTTAGGTAACTAATATTACACGGACGATGCATCTAGGGATGCAACTACCAGACTTTCTCTGGATGCTGGATCTGACCTACATTTACTAGATGAGTGACCAGATTAACATTTTTAGAGCAGTTCTATTCTCAAGTGACCGTTAGCCCTACCTCGACAAACTGTAATGGATGATTCATTTTAGGGATGAAAGCTAGCAGGTTTGCTTCGGATACTGGATCATCCCTATAATTATTCATCCATGCAAATTTGTCGAGATAGGGTTTATGGTTACTTTAATGACAACCTACTTTTTTCTGATAAGTGGCCAAATTTAAGTTTTTGAAGAGGTCAATTCCCAGGTTACTAGAAGTCCTACGTATAGATGATGCATCTAAGTATGCACAATACTAGACTCTTTCAGATGCTGAATCTTACTTACATTTTCCGGATGATTGAACAGAAAAAGTTTCTTGAGCAAGTCCATTCCCAAGTAATAAAGAATGCTACCAAGACCAAACTTGCAAAACTGTTGCATATATAGTGATCCACACTACAACAATGTTTGTTAATTGTGGGACTTTGCCTTACTTAAATATAACATTTGTTGAGATGAGCTATGAAATCTTTGAATACCTATGTTTTACATCGCTCAGATGTTTGTCTTACCGATCCTTATACTTGTGGGGCCATGGTATAGGGTACATAAGATGGTTGAGCGCACTGTCTTTAGTATAAAAGGACAAGAGGCCATCTTGCCCCACTGCTGCTAGTCGATATTGTTCTACGAGGTCCAGAAGACTGTTAGCTTTGGCACTTCGGACAGAATACACATCTTCATCCTCTTTATAGCGAACACGGTACTGGTATATTTCCAACTTCCATCTGTACAGGCAAATATATGCTTGAACATGTATTTTAGTTCTAGGTTAGTACATCAAAGCTTAAGAGATATTACCTTTCTAAAGTAAAGTCAGAGTGATTTATCAATCATAACTCATGTCAGAAATTAAAGGAAGACAGATTTGGTTTTCTTCATAAAAAAGCACTCACATATTCGGCATCTGCAGTTTGATATACAAGTATAAGGTGATGATTAAATTGGAATAATAATAAAACTTTATAATGAAATACCCTACGATAAATGTCATCAAAAATCAAAAAACTAATGAATTTGGGATGGGGGAAGGTCGTTAACAATTTTGTGTTTTCTCTAACGTATTTTATCAAAAGAAAATTTTGTTTTATAAACATGATAAAATCTATCAAGAAAAAAAAAAACGGTCATTTTGAAATACATATAAACCACGCCTTCTCACAAATAAACAGCCTCTTTTAGAACGACGAAAATTAGTAATCAGTAGAAAATTAACCAAATATATAATGTATTTTTTCACAAAATACAATAGGAGTCTGTAATGTATAATTTTAGGTACGCATTTCATTTCCGTAAATGAGATGAATTGTCGTTTGATAGACAGTCCTTACTTGCAGGAAATGACGTATTTGATGTCCTCTCTTTCTTTCCCGTACGGGTGTACCAAGAACAGAGCTTCTGCGTCCATTGGATCATAAGGATATTTTTCCAGAAAGTCCTTTGCAGACGTTTCCGTTTGATCGGGATGATACCAATCATAAATACTGTTGAATAAATGAAATATGTATGTTTATGTATAAAGCTATATATAAACACACGTTGGAAAAATATAAGTATACTCCGCAGTATAATGTGCATTTAGTGAATGACTTTGAAGTCATGAATTATATAAATAAATCCACATTAACTGTTCATGATTTAAGATCAACTAAGGATACTTTCTATTTGTAATGAATTGTAATGAAGAAAACACTTACTCAAAAAATGAAAATGTTACAGTACATGTACTTGAATAGGTATATATTTTCAGGATTCAATGGCATACATGCAGAATAAGTATTTACATGTATATAAAACCAACATTCATTATATGTGTAAAATATTGATTCATACCATATTCTATGTTCTTTATAATGACCTTTATTGGAAATAAAACCTACCGTTTTTGTCTTATATTCTTATATTATTGTTTTTTTTTAAATACAATTTTCATTACAAATTACTCAATTTCCCTGATCAATACAGAGGCCTCACGGCGGGCGGGTGTGACGGGTTGGCAGGGGGTACTTTTCCTCCTAGGCACCTGATCCCATCTCTGGGGTTTACAGGGGTCCGGTTTCCCCCCTATTTATGATTCGTATTCGTTACCTGACTTATAAGTTTGGTTACTGCTTGCTATCTTCATCCTTTTCATTAAAACATATTTTCTATTATGCTAATTTTAGAACACAATGACAAATTTTCAGAGATTCGGCACTCATCATGTTAACATTCTGTATCGTTGTTGCTGTGCCTCTTGTAAACTTCGGTTTTATGTGCGTCTCTTACTCATCAAATGTTGAACTTCGTGGTAACAAAACAAGGTATACATGCATTTAATATTTGATCTCAAAAATTTCAGCATATACCTGTGTATTTGCCTATATTTTTTCTTTTCTTCTCCTTCACTCCTTGACTTTTGTACGGGGCCATTTTGTTTCCTCATCATTGGTATATATAGGTTTGCCATCTTGTTTTATCTGTCAAAACGACACAGTTTAACCCGATTTATAACATTTGCAAATGAATTGAAGTCCGGATGTGGTAATATAAGTGTTTTTCCACTGTTCAAACAGGAAGTTTACAATCAGTAAATCAACAAACTTCCCTTTATGAAAATAAGTCATTCAAATCGTTCGTCTCAAAAATTCATTTACTTTCATATCTCTGTTTCCGGTTATCAATTTCTGTCCGATCCGGGAAGAACTGATGTAAAACATGCAGAAGGAGAGTAAATACGTAATCAAAGAATTAAAAGTCTAAACAGAAGGATTTTCAATTCAGAATCGAAGAAGTATTTTACCAAAATATTATACAGTTGTCCTATATTTTTTTTGATCATGTGTACATATCTTTTGTAGAGTTGTTAGATCTATAAAGGATGCTCGATAACTATTGATTTTTATACGAAGAATTGATTTAAATCGACTAAAATTATGATAATTTTTCAAACAAGAGTGAATAAATTTGACACTTTCTATATAGTATTAATAGTTCGTTTGAGAAATACCGCATCATCTTCTAGATCCTACTTCATTGGTTGTACATACATACAAACAAACAAACAAACAAAAATAATAAATAAGGAAATTGCTCAAGTATTTTTCTCAAACATCGGATACTTAATAACAGGTTTTTTTTTCCTGGAATGTATGGATAAAAGAATAGGACTGGTATGTAATTGTTGAACACTGACAATGGACAAAAACTACTTATTTGAATTGGAAATTCCTACCAAACACTGACAAGTTAATCAAACAAAATATTTCTTATTCGAGGAAAAAGAAAAATATCTAACAAAAACTGCTATTGGTAGACACATTGGTTGACAAATATAGTTTTCATCATTATTGTTAAGAAAGAAAGAAAGAAAGCTTCTAACGGATTATAAACGGAAAAAAAATCTATCAAATGGGCCATTCGATCGTTGTTTTGAAATAAACTGCTGTATATAATATATTTATTCATATTTGATCAAAATACATGCATCCCCTGTAATGCTTTGGTTCTTTGATAGTCGGTATCAATTCATATTAGACACTCTAAAACAGAATTCCCCAGTATTGAATTTATTTTCTTCTTCTCTTTCTACACACATCTCACTTGATGGATGAGTATAATTCAAATATTTGTGAGTATTATTGTTTGAATCAAGTGAATATCAATAAGCTAATCTGGACGGACAGATTATTTCCGGACACATCCGATTATTCTTGTCCAGCCCGTTTTCCTCGGAAACAATTTTTCGCGGGAAGCGTGTGTGTTGTCAAGTCCCATGAGGGTCGTAAACCGGTCTAATCTGGGAGATAAACGACACTGACATTGCCGCAAATCACTCTTTATGGATACATGGAAACAAGAGAAGACTGGACGTCAAATTTTACGACATTTTAATAATGGGCAAGTAACATTAGGAAATGACAAGGAAATATGAGCAGTGATTTGGTCCGGCTTTCCGGTTTTACAAGACATAATTCCACGTGACATGTCTGTCCAGTTTATTAATTTCGCCATATTTGGAGTTTTTCTATCTGCCGAATTTTGATCCATTTTCAATTATTCTTGTGCTTTGATTACAATTTAATCCTGGGTTTGATCAAAATACTAGTAAATTAATTTGATGGTCTTTCATTTTGGGTACAGAAAAAGACATATTATTTTCAGTGGATTGCACATTGTTTTGGAATCATATTTATATAGTATTGTAAATAACCATGAATTGAAATCTCTTAATGGTTTATTTTGGGTACAGAAAAAGACATATTTTTTTCAGTGGCTTGCACATTGTTTTGGAATCATATTTATACAGTATTGTAAAAACCATGAATTGAAATCTCTTAATGGTTCATGTTTAGTCGAATGTGATCTCCTTGAATAAATTCCTCGACGAACAGTTTCGTACAAATGAGGAAATAGGTACCTCATCAATATCATCTTTGTGGTCAAATATGATGCATCTTTTAAAACAAAATTAAAAATAAATTATAAAACATGTTTTATTGTGAATATGAAAGCGGATAATGTTTGAGTCAGTTGCAAGACGTCATTTTGTACATACATAAGCCTGTTTATAGTAATTTGAAAGTACTGCTAGTGTTATGTGTACTTAAAACGTAGATGTTTCTAAATATTCACGTTAAATGAAATCGGAGAAAAGTCAGGCAGTAGAAATATTGTTTTTTCTTCGGTATTTATGTTTACTTTTAATGTATCCCCTGTTTTACTTTATTAAGATGTAAGTAGCAATAATAAAAGAGTCAATTACACCGTGGATCTATCTCTATGATGTTTCTCACAATATAGGCACGTGATGAAGGTAAAGTGAGACGTACATTAAGGTTCGAAACTTAGTGGGATTAAGCCCAGGACATATATAATTCACAAAGTTATATGAGGTAATGAAGATACGAGTCTCTAGAATTTGAAGAGGGGCTTTGTTTGTGCATTCATTTGGGACGCCACCAATTGCAAGTGGAAGGCTGCAAATTTAGATCTCTACCTGGAACTATATATAGCCATTGAGCGCATCTTTTTCGTGCCAGCATCTACTACAACACTGGACCTCAGTTAATACGGTCTCATCCGAAGGACCGGGTCTCCATGTCCTAAAATAGGATTCGATCTCGCAAAGTAAAGATCAACTCCTTACTCCGCGACTCCAAAACGAGTCGCTAAAAATCACTGCTTCTCGCGGTCAACGTGACGAATGTGAGTTTGACGACGATAATTTTGTACTTATTTCACAGAAGCCGAATGTATTTTTAAAAATCTATTCAAGTTAAAGGATGAAAAGATTAGTCAATCAGTTGGTCATCTTACTCGATAAGTTTGCATTTCCTTTAGATAGCAGGGACGTATTTCCTGACTTAAATATTCTAGGTCAGGAAAATCCGATTTTGATTCATTATATCTGGGATAAAGTATATGTTCTACATATTAAATATATATTTTTTACTCTTAAAATGGGTTCTGATCTGAATAACTGGGTTATTTTTTTCATATTGTATAAGTATATTTTTCTTTTTTTAAAAAATGGAGTGTGTATGTACACTTCAACAAATCTCTAACGTACACTTCAAGAAACCTCTAACTCTGGTCATCACGTGACCTCTAAGCAATCTCATTTTTGATTCGGTAAAAATATATTTCCTTTTTGAAATTTGACAAAATTATTGTGACAACAAATGTGAGCAACAAATTGAATCTTTTGTCCCTATTCAAAACCATCAAAACCAGGAATGAAATCTCGAGTATGTCAATAGATACTAAATGTTATATCAGCTTGCAGTTTGTATTTTAAAAACAGTCATATCTTAGATGTTTAACACGATTTTACCCTTTTCTTCTCCTTTTCGTATAGCTTTGAAAATTTGCAGATGTTCCCTGTTACTACCGGTAAACATTACTTGAATTTCAAAAACTCAGAACAACACACAAGCATGCAATCTTAGAACTCAGCAGAACAGAACGACCCTGTCACTTTGGCCTCAAATACAACACGGAAATTTAGAATGATTAGAAAACCATTCGTAGTTGCTCTATATATACAACCCGAAACCCGACCTTTATCAGTCTAAATTCCATTGTCGATTTTTCACATCCTCTGTTTTGAAAATATAAAATCATGAAATGAAGATCATATGTGTCACCGAATCTTGATTTGAATATTAAAAAAAAAATAAATGTATGTATCTCTGAGGAAAGTAAAACTATAAAAAACATAGAAAGAATAAATTTTTATAAATATATTGATGTCAGAAAACATAGTAGAAGATTAAAACAGCTAATGGCAGGTTCCTATCAACCAAAGTTGGAAAAGATGGGAAATTCAGCAAGACATTTGATGTGGAATGATGTATTTTTTATACTAACAATGTAGTACATACCTGCAGCTTTGTGCACCCAAGAATTTTCAATGGTGTTATTAATGAACGTGAGACAATTCGAGTTTATCAAATTGATATTATTTATTCTATAATAAATGTGTATTACTGTATTTGATTGTTATAATTAGTTGACCCCAAAGAAAACCAAAGCGACTCAAAGATTTGATAACCTCCTGAAATTCATGCATGGTATTCTGTAATTAATTCAATGTATCTCCTGTCTAACGTGCATTCATAGCAAATGCCTAATTTTTATTATCTGTCATCAAAAATTTTCCAAAACCTTAAAATATTTTTTTGGGGAAAAATACATATGAAAATCTGTTGTCCATGTGTTGTGTCGTCATCTGCAATATTCATAAGGAAGAAAAAGTAAACGATTCATCACAAAAGTCAAACAAGCGGAACAATTCCTGTCGCTTCAATTCCAAAACCAGTTCTGGAACAATTCCTGTCGCTTTAACTCCAAAACTACTGCTGAGCAATTCCTGTCGCTTCTACTCCGAAAAAAAATAGGCTTTCAAGAATGAGCAAGAAGTATAGCAGTACGTCATGTGCAGTATTATATATTTATTGACTTGGTTCGAGAGCAACATGCGTTTTGTCGGACCCAAGAACAAAACTGTTTGCCTTCGACTGAAGACAAAATTTGGTTCGAGGGGTCAACAAAATGCAATTTGCCCAAAAACACTGTCAATAAATGTTTTGTTATTCCTTTTACCTTTTATTTTGACATACATTGTAGTTGTATCTTGCGCTGGCTTCCATGTTTGCGATAATTGACAAGATATAACTGATTTCACATACAGAGTGACGTAAAAAAAAAAACCCAAAGCGGTCCAATATCTCATTGACAGGTCCAATGTCTCACTCAGCGGTCAAACATCATTTGGGGGGGGGGGGGGGCATCAGTAAAACATTGGAAATTTTTAGACTTTTTAAAGTATAGATTAATATACGGAAGAATTTTTAAAGGTATAACAAAAGCCTTTGAATATAAATTTCAAATAAGTGACACTTCCCTAAAAAATTTTGCACGTTAGTATACTAGTATAAGATATTACTCAAGGAAAAACATTTGTATCAACATTTCCTGCCCTATTTTCCCCCTTTATAAAGATTCTCATATAGAATCCATCTTAAGGCTTTTAAATACAATGTACATGTAGTATTATAAATTATGGTGTTACAAAATACATGTATTCAAAGCCTGTAATTCGAAAACAACAAAAGTAGTTTGTTTATTTTTTATATCTCATTTTTATAATAAGTAATGTACAATTTTACAATATATCAATTTGTCACAACTTTCATTTTTCACCTTCTATATCGTAACAACAGAAATGAAAGTACTGACACATAGCGTTTATACCTCCTCATAAAAACAAAACAAAAAATACAATATTACGTCAAGACATTCATTCATACTATTGGCACTGGTTAAAACTTCTTATGAAACATGACAGTGCAATCACTGATTTCTTAACACAAAGAAAAGCATTAGATCTTTGGCTGAACAGAAAGTGGCTTTTACAAAATTAAAAATAAAACTTTTGCTACCACGAGAGGCGTTCCTGTTGAATAATTGAATACTGAAAGTTTGTGTCATATTTGATTGCAAAATACAGTATATAGGATAAATTTGTTGGGGGGGGGGGGGGGGAGACTTTTTCTAATACTGCAAAAACCCCGTTTATTTTACAAAGGCCGAGCTAACTAAGGAGTACAAAAGGACGGTAGTAAAAAAAAGGACACGATTTTTTTAAAAAATAAAACAAAAATTATTAACATGAATATTTTATCTTTGTTAGAAACATTAAGCTTTCTTATTTTCAAATAATTCGAGTTAAAATAGCAAGATATCCGAATCTTCTAGAGTGAACGTAGAACTTTCATCGAAATTTTAAGAAGGATACAATTGAACACAATTAAAAAGAATGAAATGTTCACATGCACATACAGATAACATATTAATTAACAATCATCTCATATGATTAACACATCCACTCTATACATGTACTCTATCCCTGTCATCCGTCATGAACAAATCATGATAAACAGAATTAACTCAGGGTTCTTCGTTGCAAAAAATACATGTGATATAATAATAGTTACAGAACATAATCTACTGAAGTATTTAAAGTATTATGCTTTTGGTGTAGAATAACACATTTTTTTTTCTTGTATATGAATATAATGCACAATGTTTTGCTGCTTTCTATTGCACACAAAAAAAACCATTTCAATGTCAGTATATTGTTACATACGTACAGGAATGTTGAGGTGTCAAAAACACAAGGTTAATTAGCATTCCTTTCATACTTTCAGGGAATGTAGGCAATTTTTTTTTTTATCGTTGTGTGGCAAAATATCCAGAATTATTATTTTTGTTATCTATTCCCGAGTATTATTTCAGATGAGAATTTTACTTTTACTTATAATCTCATTTAATACTTTAAGCAAATATATAGTTATATTCCAGCAAACTACATTGATAATTATGACACTGAAATGTAACAATTTAGATTGATATGGTGGGAATGACAAAAGCAGCGCTTGCAATGAATTAAAATTTACAGATCTGTATCATATAATTAATAATGAGATCCAACAAAAATAATTTTAGCACCGCGTCTTAGTACCGCCATGACTGGGACTAAAAGCACGAAAAAAAAAATAAATATATCACAATCATGTTCTTCCTTTGGACACTCGGAAATGTTCCAAGGATTCCACTTCCGGTCTTGAACCGGTAGCACTATTGGCAAGTTAATGCGGCAAGTTTGTCCATTACTAGATCTCTTTTTTTAATCGAACCTTTGAAATATATTAGGTTTCTTGTAAAGATTATGCCATTTAGTTTGCTCTATGTCCTGCCAAGAGCTCAAGGATTATGCTGTTATACGAGTATTCCTTTCTAATGTTTGCGGCTTGGAACCGACATGAAGGTAGATGATGCTGATTGGTCTGATACTTTGTATCACGTGATTTGCAATGGAATGACGTCACATCTTGTTTAGCACTTGAGCAGGAGGCAATTTTACAGAATAAAAAGAGACTTTTTTTCTCTCAACTATCACCTGACCATGAAATATAGTGTCACAAAAGATAGAAATAAAACGACGAACGATAAGGAAAGATTTACACTGGAGTTATCGGCGTTAATGATGCCTTCAGATCCCTGAATGCGATTGGTCCCCCCTCTGTCGGGAGAAATTTTCGTTCGATCTGAAGTTATTCCACTTGGACTTTCAGTGATAGACGGGTGTGTGTTTGGATTGCACTCACCTACAATAATATATCCTCATTAGTTTATAATTCTAAATAAACCCAATAAGAAACTCGATAACATCTGAAAAGATCATTAACAAAATTAAAATTTAATATCGCCCACTAAGCATGCTTATTAAGAATGCTTTGACGTATTCATTAAATCTTGGAATAAACGCGTAGGATAGAGGACGTAAACTTCAATTAGAGAGAGTAGGACAAGGGGACTTGAAAAGGAATCGTTAACAAACCTTTTGGTGTAAACAACAAGTAATTGATGGACGATCTACTGACTGTTGTTTTTCTCATGCAGTATTCATCCTCCTGTACGTCTATCCCAGCGCTTGTGACTGTGAAAGACTGGAAAATCCGAAATAAAGCATTCCCTTTACTAATTAACTTTACAAAGAGCCCTAAGAAAAGCACAGTCTAAGTGAACAGCACTTTTTTTTTCAGTTTGAAAAACCAGCAGCAATAGCATATAGCATGACTAAATACATTAAAAAAAGATGTACTGGCCATATTTGATTACTTTATTAGAAGATTACCAAAACGAACTAAAACAAGGACTTGGGGGTATTTCTGTGTTTTGTTTTCCTGATATATTGGCTTTGAGATATGGCTTTAAATAAATCCAAACTTACGAGACACATGGCTGGCTTCAGTAGTTTCGGAGACTGAACGATAACGTAGTGAGTTCGACCATCTATCCAGTCGGACAAGCATCTCCATATGTTCACTACGAAATAAAACAGGTCAACTTACTTATTTTATAGAAAAGATAAATATTCAACATTCTAAAGTAAAATTCAATCTTTTTAATTTTTATAAGTTCAAGTTATGAAATGCATAAATACTTAAACTTTGTTTATAGTTCATATAGACGAATCATGCGAAGAGAACAAACCTGATTCAAGATTAACAGGACATTTTTTCTGGATAACAATTTCTTGAGGCGTGCTACACCCTATTATGAATTGACCCCCACAGTCTGAAGTCTTGTCCGTGAACTTAAAGCTACCAACTGCATCCGCCGGGCATTTCCTTGGTTTTACGTCATCGGCTGAAACGTCAATATTATTTAATATTTAGTTTTATCAGATTTTTTAACCAGTAAGTTTCCTTTACATTCGAGTTCAGGTAAACAATGGACAACAAGTAATAAACACATCTGTGTGGTATATATAAAATATGTTGCGTTTGTTACCTTGCAAAACACAATAGCAAGACAAAATATCACTCACCAATCAATATTCGTTTTTCTCCTGTTGTGAAAGTTTTGTCATCACAGGCATTGAATTCGTCATTAAATGGTTGTCCTTTAACAAATGAAAAAAAATAAATAAAACATGGAATACATTAATTTTCTTGACAGTTTTCATCTAAAACTGATGTCAACATTTTCTAATTGCTTAAAATTTTACTTTCGCATTTCAGAACATATTCACTTTATTTTTTACAGTATAAGTATCTACCTAGCTCCATTTCCAAAACTTTGCCATCGGAATCCCTCTGCTTTATTCGTAAACATCTGTATTTTGATTCACTGTAATATTACGAGAAGAGTTATTTTATGTGAGCATGTGGTTCTTCTGACATTTCAATTCCATTTTTTGCAAAGTTGGAACGTCCTAAAATATTAGTATATACGCCAGAAAACTGTTAATTTTATCATGAACACGTCAAAATCATAGATTTATTGCAGTTCGGGCTCCGTACATAAAATTGAGATAGCGGCAAAAAAGTTTCCATTATCCTCTATGTGCAATTTAATTCTTCTGTAAAATGTATGGATAAAGATATTCAAATTCAAAAATTACTTCATAAGTTTAGATTTGTATCACTGAACCTTAAGTATTTTTTAATCAACTTTGACCTTTTGGGCTAATTTACATATTGTTCGACTCTGTAAAAGTTTTACCATATTGAAATATTTCTATAAGAAAAAATAGTCCATTTTTGATAAGTACCATTCGCTAGTCGTTGTGTATACAACATATTTGTGAACATCTCCGATTCCACTATGAGATGTCCTACAGCGCATGACAAGTTTGACCTCGTTACTTCCGCTTTCGTCTGCGTTCAGCGAGTAGCTTGGGTATGTGTCCTTAATTCTGATCACTTGCATCTGATCATCTACAACTAACTGTGTCCTTCCTGATAGGTCTCTCCAAACTTTTCTAAACTCAAATATGGCTGGAAATCGACATTGCATGGGGGGAGTTGGGAATCGTTCTGTAAAAAGCAGATATCAGAGTATGTCGAGCTTTATGAAAGTGAAATGATGAAATGCAAATGAAAAGTTGGTAAAAATATTGAAATGTATGGATATGAATGTTTCAGAAAAAGTTAGCACGCAACGTTACAATATTTTACAAAAAAATCCCTCAGTTATGTATGAACTTGGCTCCAATGCGACAAAACCATAAAGAAAACGTTTAGCGATGCTTCCATTTGAATATCGCCATCGGAGGAATCTAGACAAAAACATTTATTTTCCTCTACGAGATAGAGGTCCCGCATGGCGTGGCATGCGTAGCATAAAACAGATGCAGCATCAGAAAGCATCAAACGGTTAAGGCAAAAAGAAGAGTCCCTCCCAAATTGATGTGGTAATATATCACGGGAATATTTACTAGGTAATATACACAGCTGGAGAGGGTTATGTAATCAACACGTTTGTAGAATGCCTATCAAACATATCACTGCAGGTATCAATCAGGGGGCGATATAAACAAAGACATATTCTCTCAACACACACTTGAAGTAATACTTTTTTATGAGACTCTCAGTAGGTTTAATACCGTGTGCAGTGTCAGATTGTTGCCCAACGATTTCAGTGTTATTTGTTCATAGATTTCTTCATTTAATATAAATAAACTTGAATTATTTGTTGATTACATTTGTAATCGTTTTCAACATAAGAGCTTCGTTTATAAGCAATGGGCTGCTACCTTGCAAAGTAAAACAAAGCTTGACTGTATATGCGAATGAACTAACCTAGAGTCATTGTAGATGTCCCCACGGTGGGGCTTTGAAGCCCTTGGCAGGAAGCATCAGCTGACATAGACATATCCCCTCCGTACCCAAATAAGCTGTGCATCTGAAAATATGTTTATGTACACATAACATTATTCATATATTTATTAGAACATAAACGCCGTACCTATGTCGTTAATTCTTAATGAGAACTGAAAATTGCTCTGCAATATAATGAGAAAAGAATGCATAGTGCACTTTTAACTAATTACATAAGTTCAAGATGTGCTCTTTAGAATGCATTATCGACACGGAAAACCCTTGAAGCATAAGTATTGTTAATGCACTGCTCTGGAAAATGTACTCACAAAACATCGGTACATATCGGCTCTGTCTGAAAGCTCCTCAGAACCACTAAATCTTCCATACAAATACTTTTCCCCATTCTCCCAAGTGGCTAAACATTGGAAATAAACCTCTGAAATGATACAATTCCTTCGTGTTTGGTAAGATTTTCCAGACATCCATGGGTAGCACTATTTGAGATACATTTATACTTAAAAACTCACGAGACAAGAATCCTTTCATGAAAATGGTCTTTTTGAAATATTCATTAAAAAAAACAACAAAATTGATACCTCCACCCCAAAATGTGAAAATATTCATTGTGAATGATGTTTGAAATATGCACCTTTTTCTTCGGTATCTGGAATGCCTTGACATTCTTTGTAAACGAATTTAAATTTGGACTCATCAGCGCATGCGTGAATTTCAGACTGAGGATTGCTGCATGGCCCCCTTCCGTTTTTAGTATAGGAAAAGGAGTATCTTCCCTGAAAAGGACATTTGACGGGACTTCCAGGCACTAGAAGTAAAAGAAAAAATGTTTACATCAAAGTTTACTGGGTGTAGCAAATTCTATTTATCAAATATCTGATCAGTAAAGAGCAAATGCAGAACTATCATTTTACCTTTGACTATGGTATGGAGAGGATAGTCTCCGTTAATACTACGGCATGCTACTTCTAAAGATTTCTCCCTTTGACAGTAGCCTACAAATACAAAGATTGAATACTTTCATGAATGTAGTTCGTTTCATACACATGTTTGTCGTACAGAATAATCATTTTTGGTATGTTGTATAAATTGAGTAAAGAAAGAAACAAATGTATCACTGCTAACGACCAAAAGTATACTATGTCTCTGACAAAAATATTCCTGACACGATTATTATAAATTGAATGAAAAAAAACTTAACTTTTATAAAAAATATAGTGATATGAATCTAAGGATACAGTATTCAATGTTGAGGTTATATGATGTATGCAAAAATCTACATCGAACTAATTCCAGTGGGCGGAAGAATATTTTTGATGAAGGAGGGGAAGTGGTGTGGTACTTCAAAGATGAAAGAAACCATTCATTGAACGGTCTATAATAAGTCTGTATTCATTAAGGGAGATTTTTAGAATCGTTCGACATTTTACATTTGCAATAACCGTTTCCATTGAAATTCCTGAAAACGCACAGGAACATGGTAATAAAATTCATCCGCCTTCCGCTGCCAAAAAAAAAAAATCTTCTAAAAAGTATGATTTCTTTTTTCGGATCATTAAATAAATTTCTCGTCTTTAATAAAGGTCTCAACAATCCGTTGTTGCCTCATTATTGATGACATATATTAGAGGATAACAAAGATAATTTCTTATATCTTCGTGACGTACATTAGTCTACGACATCAAACATCTTAAGGGTAATTATTTCTCTCATTTTCCTTGTTTATTTCGAATTTATCATCTTGTATTGGTGAAATACACTGCCTGGAAAAAAGTAATTATGGTATAACATTGGATCGAGGGGGAAACACTGCCATCCGAAAGTGTTTTCTGCTGTGCAGGTTTTATCGTAGACGATAATTTGATCTTACATACAAATCAATGGCCATGAATCTCCGCTTACTACTTTATGGACCATTATTGATTTTTGAGGAAATCAGTCCCCGATCTTGATGTATAACACTCATTTCTTTCACCAGATTTATGCTCAATGCTACTTAATAAATACAAAAAACCAGTAATATGCAAAGTGTACGGACAGATGACGGACAGCTGCCAGCGAGCCCACAAAATCATTAGACCCTCAGAACTCGCTAGAGGCTTTATGAACAAAACAAAAATAGAGAAGATCTCTCTAACATGGAAGCTTAATTTCATCGCTTTATTGGGCACAATTATTTTGTCTTTTTCTGAGCAGCGTACGGTTTTAAGTTTTAGTCCTCTGGGCATAGAAAGCACTATGCTCTGTCCTTTTTTTTTCTCACATCTAGTCACGTGCTGATGGCAAAAAGATGGACTGGAAATCTAAGTCGGTCAAACGCTTGACGAAACGTGTAAATGAATTAAAGAACAAACATCACATGTAAAACGACACGAATGACCCTTCGAGAGCGTGCACGAGACTTGCCGAGAGTGTCTAACTGGACATGGTCCGATGTACAAGACGTATATGATGACTTGACCCGTATTTATGCTTCATTTGCAGTAATTGACAATTTTTGCAGCTAATGTGCAAAGGCCCAGTGACCCAAATTCACATTTTTCAAACTTGATTTCTTTTAGTTGCAAAAATCGAAGTTGAAGAGACGTATCTCACATAGCCTATAATTTGTTTTGAGAATGTCTGTTGAAAGGGCAATTACGATCTCATTGAAAAAAAATCATAAAAATAACTTGAAATAATTTCTACATTGATGGCGAATGCAAATTATGACCCATTCATCCGGTTAGAAAGCGATAGATAACATATGGTACTTAGAAATCGGTCGAACTACGGACTGATGACAAAAATAGGGAAGAACCACGCACAGTCTCATTACAGTATCTCAAGCAACACATGTAAGAGTATGAAGATCTACTTATATTATTAGAATGTCTGCTGCACAAACACAATCTGCCCTTAAAAGACAGAAAATGTCTCTCTGTATCAAGCATAATAGTTCCATTTATTGTCTACAGTATATTTATGGAATTGCATATAATAGGGTTTCTATCAGCAAAAGGAGGATAAGTAGACGATTTCAATTATTCCAGTGAATCGAAAACATATTGCCTTCGAAATGTATCACTCCATTTCTTAATTTGATGTTCAAAATCTAACCTGAGTTTAATACAAACTTTCAAATGTACGCCATTTCCCCCTCAGGCCTTTGTTCATTTTTAATTATTTATGGCATCGCCATGTAAAAAGCATAGTATTCCCCCGAGTTTTCTCTGTCGCAGCTTACATTTTGAAGACAAAAAAACTTTGACTGCCATTCGGGATATTACTCAATTATCGAGAACCAAGTGTTAATCCCGTCTTTGTTTCTGTATATGTATGCGAAATCTTTTTTTGTTAGCTCGCTACACCCCAGAGACTTTCCGAGTATTATAAATGTCCTTAGACAGAGAAATGGGTAACTCAATTAGAACCTTTTAAAAACGCCTAACGATTTATTGGAAACATGCTGCACAAATGCCGAGTGGAAGTGCGCTATACGATCCTGGAAAAAACATTTTTTGTTTAAAGACTGTCTATCCCTCTGGGTGGTATGGGCTGCTAATTATTGGCAGGGGTTTTAAACTTCTTAAAATTCTTTTAATTTCGACACTTATTATTGTTCGTGAAATAAATTGCTTAACATTAAGTGACAATTAACCAATATTTTTCTTATTTTTTTATATATCAGGTAAATTTTTATTTTCATATCACGTGGAAAGAAGTCAGACATTTTGCAAACTTTACTTAAATACAGCTGGCATGGAAGGATATCTGTAAATTAATTAAAGTGATGGCAAGCCCGACGAACAAAGAGATTTTTAAAAATATTTTTAGATGGAATTAACTATGAATATCATAATTTATATTGTAAGTCTCAGTCTTTCAGTAATGTACAACCGTCTTTCTCCAAGAAATTATGCAACTGTTTTCTAACTAAGTAATGGGTTATTTGAAAACTTTGTGATTCGTCATTCAGCGCACGGTAGCCATATACATGCATATAACTATTGTTATTGCATTTAAAGTTGGAACCCAAAACCCTTCATAAAATGAAACCAAAAGAAAAACAGAAAATCTACTCACTTTCTTTATATTGAATTACATTCTGGTGCCAAGCGTTGATAACAAGACACCTATAACATTCCTGGTCCCTGAAAATAATTAATAATACAAAAAATAAAAACCTGCCAAGATTTTTAGATTGACCAATAAGATAAAGCTACAAAGCAATAAGATAAGAAAAAGAGGGAAAAAAACTATTTTGGCATTTACGAGATTTTGTTGATCATAAAACAGTTATCGAAAGCGAGATGCCGTTAAAAAAAAACTGCAAACCGCTTAACATTTATTTTACACTTGGTAGTAAGCGATAGCATTTTTTGGGGGAAACTAATAAGTGAGTGTGTTTTCTGGTCAGTTTCAATTGTATTGACATAAATGTCAAAAATTTAGAATAAATCCATCGAAAATACAACAGATCATCTTAGTTTGTCTCTCAAATCTACATCTCTCTTTATTTTTAGATACAGAAATAACTATACAATTGTTGATTGGATATCTAAAGTGCTTCTCGTAAAAAAAATATTATCTAAATGGTGTGGTAATAAAACTACATAGCGTCGTACCATTATAACTCTAAGCCACATACTCAAAATTCAATATAACAAAAGCTATGATAACAAATGGTTCTCTGGCGCGAACTTTCTCAAGGAATATTACTTTGCACGTGCAAGAATGAAAAATGCCAACGAGAAATATTTGTTTATCAAATAACATCAAATTTCATACTTCAGTTGGGAAAAAAATTATTTACAAGTCTTGAGTTCAGACAATTCATCTGAAGTGCAACACCAGTAACAATTTCAATACGCTAACGTTCTTGAAATTTTATCTTAACGTATTCTTTCAAAGTGACCAATTGTCTACTCAGTTGACTTCTTTATTATGTCTAGAAAAAACAGATTGATCCCAAAAAACAATAAATGAAAGCTATGTATATTCCTTTTCGAAAATTCAATTACTGGTTCTTATTCAATTTCCGACCTTTGGGGACCAGCTAACTAACTTAATAGACGCAGACGACATGATTTGGACGAAGCAGACGTTGATTAATACCTGTTTGAAACCACGAATTTATTTCCCACGTTCTCAATGCAAACACCCTTTCTGGAGATTTCTCTTTCCGATATGGACAGCTCTCCAAAAACGTTCTGGTACCAGGAACCATGCCACTCCCTTGGAAATGTGCAAGCAAACACTACAAAACACAAGAAATAAGTCATTAATACTAAAAGACATGGAGAATTCAATTTGCTCCCAGACCAAGGAATTACAAGAATAATATCTGTGAAGGAGACAAAGAAAATGCATTCATAACAATTAAAATGTAATACACAAGGACATCTAAACTTGACGAAAGATTAAGTAAGGCGACGAGTGATAAAACGGCCACCATCTTGCTCGTAATTGGAAGTCAGACGGCTTCCGTTTTTTTCTCAGTAACAGATGTTGAAATGACTTTTATATCAAAGTTGTTATATTGTTACGTTTATATGAGCGGATGTTAATGAAAATCAAGTCCAGGAACAGTTTGTTTTCCCCTTGTGTCACAATTACAGATGTTCTTAACACCAACGAAAACTCAAAATTTGTACATTGGCTGGGATAGGACATGGTATGAGAATTGTATTTCGTGGCCACAAATTAATTTTTATAAAAAAAAAAAAATCGTGCCATGTTCTTTACCAGTCACCGTAAAATTGGGCGAGTTTGATCATTTTCAAGGAGTTTTTCTTTTTAAAGAAAACATTAAACGCATGGTTATATTGCTTCAACGTTTTTAGTGTAGGTGTCTCATTCAAAACTATGTGGACCATTCTGAGTTCAGCGATATGAACAACAAAAAATTCTTTAAAAATGTCATGAAGTGCATGACGTTCTGCAAATTCATTAAGAACATGTCACCGGATGACAGCAGACGTGATCTGATTTTTGAAACAACCCGGCCTTCGTCTTTGATATTTGATCTATTTATTGAATTCTAAAATTCATTATATTTGTGGTATTCAGATATGCAAAGTGTGTACCTCGACTCGAATGGGCCTTTAAATAGAATAGACTTTTATACATATTCTTTAAATTTTCTAAAGCTATTTTTCTGAAATTACGAACTCGTTACTCTAATGTTACCTTGTAAGATAATATAGGAAACCACATTTCTACAATAGAGTCTTATGAGAAATAATATATTTTTGAGGCGGTTTGCTGCAGTATAACTGATGCTGGTGTCAGAAATCTTGGTTTTGATGAATCGAGAATCTCTACCACATCACTTCAAAAGATGCTCGAGTTTCTCATTGACAATATCTATGTAGTTTTTGGAGACCAGGTCTTCCAACAATCTGTTGGAATTCCCAAGGGTACTATCCCATCATTAACAAACATGTTTTTTTTTTATTAATATGAAGCAGAATTTATTCAAAAACGTGAAAAGAAGTTTCTTGCTGTGGCCTTCAATTCTGCATTTAGATATATCGATGACGTTATATATAGCATTTTCATTCCTACTTTGATTCGATATGTCCCATTGAACTCGAAATAAAAGACACCACAGAGTCTGACACATCTGTTTCAATTATTTATTTAGAGAACAACATTGATGGCAAACTAACAACTAAACTTTATGATATACGTGACGACTTCAACTTTTCTACCGTCTACTTCCCTTATTTATGTAGCAATATACCACTATCACCTGAATATGGAGTTTATGTCTCCCAGTTGATTCGATACGCAGAGCATGTTCTATGTCCGAACAATATCTGACGCGAGACAGGCTATTGAGGAATAAGTTGATGATATAAGGATATCAACATCGATTAAAGTCAGCATTTCGCAAATTCTATGGTCAATTCAATGACCTTGTTAGCAAATAATATATATGTCTTTCATACGAATTGTTAGGTCATTATTTTTACATTGTATTGTCTGCAGATTTTTCTGTTTACCCAATTATGACTAGGAGCACACAGCAGGTGTGACCAGTCGAGAGGGGCTGTTTACTCCTCCAGGGCACCTATCCCATCTCTGTTTTCAGAGGACGGGGCATCCGTGTTGGCTCTGCTCACAATCTGCATTGTTTCAATGGATTCTTGAACATGATCACTATTCGCTATCTTCACATTTCATTCATCTAACGAACGATATAAACCATTAAGGTCTCTCTTTCCCCTGACAGAAATGTTTAAAATAAAAAAATTCTATTCTCTTGAAGTATTCATTATGGTTTACGTAATACAAATATTCGAGAAGCATTTGACAGACGTTTATTAGACGTGGCACAGAAAATCATTTTATGACTTCGCCACTAAAAGTCACATCTTCGTATTCTAAGGATGAGTGACTTGAATAAAAACTGACGGAAGCAGGTGCTTCGTTTTCCCGCCATAGACATCCGATCTTCTGCAAACAACTGGGCTGGTTTCCGAATTTTTTAAAAAGTTTTTTCCCTATAATTGTTCAGAGACGTGTAGGATTTCGACCTGAATACAGACTGATAGAAAAGTTTGAAATCCAGTATTTTTTATTTTTGGTTTTTATGCGGTCTTAACATCATGGTGGAAGAGAAATAAATCACAGAATGACAGCTAATGTTTTTTACTGAATGAGTGCAACAATTTGGTCATTTAAAACGAAGAAGAAACCATGGAGAAGGGTTATTTATTTACTTATTAATGCATAAATTATGCAAGATTTGAAACAAAATCGGCTTACTGCACAAAAAATGCATATGATTTGAAATGTATTCCTGTATATTCGTGCACACACATGCAACGAGGGGTAATGGATTCACAAACACTGGCACCTTTGACTGGATGTAGCAGATGCTTAATAATATACTCTGAAGTAATTCTCTTTATCCGATAACTCGATTTACATAGAAGTCAATTTAACGAATTTTATTTTCAAACTTTGCCACCTTCTGAAGAAAGGGGTGTTTTAAAATTATGATTGGCTCTACAGTAAACCTCTTAAGTGAATAAAATACTTTTGTAATTATTAAACTTAATTATTAACCTTCTTTAAAAAGAAATATTATTGTCATCTCAGAAAATCTTAACAATATGCAGAATTACAGACGACAAACATAATAATTACAATACTTTATATGAATGTTATAAAAACTGTATGAAGTTACACCGTGCATCTATTATATTTCATTATGGACACGTGTGTTCGTTCTTTTCTTCTCAGTTTATAGAAAAAAGGATACATTACTCAAGCATTATAAATACCAGTGTGATAAACCTTTTTGCCATCGACGATACAAAGGGTTTTGATAAGGCGTTTTGATTGAAATTATGTTTACTTAGAGGAACGGGGATCGATTCCTATAGTAATCAAAGTAATTATGTGATTTGATATTGACCAATCGGGTGTTGATTGAGCAATAATTGGATCATACCAGAAATGTGTATTTGCAATTCCGCAGCAAATGAAATCGATTAATATTGCAGTGGTCGCATTCTCATAATTCGCATTTTTTGCGCGATTCTGGCGAGCGGTAATGACAATGTGACGACAGGTCGACATCTTGGGAGAATTACTCGGTTTGTTTTAGATATTACTCTCGGTAAGAGAACTTCCGCCCGTGCACGTGAGAATAGCGTCCAGTAGAGACGAAATAATGAAATATTTAGTGTCCGTGTCAATTTGACTTCTACTTGATTGTGAACCCTTCCTGTCGTAGTGGCGATGCGGATTGATTGGGGGGAAATCACGAAAGCTACCTGGGTCCCGATCGGCAAATCCAATAAATAAATCATATTAAAGAAAATCAGAGTCTACCAAGAGATGAAAAAATGCTTATTCTTCCAACACAAGAGCATGTAGATGTTCTTAATGAAGTGATATTTTTTTGAATTATATATTCCACATGCAAGAAAGCGATGAAAAGTTGATGAATACTAGTACTACTTCTGACATCAGGTATGAATACTATGAACACAAGAGAGTCGAAACACATCAGGATCCTTAAATAATTTCATATGGGGGTCAAGTATTCCTAAATAAAATTTTAGAAGAAAAGAGGTTAGAGGAATAGCTTGCATTCACAATTTTAGTTAATAACCACCTTTTTCTCTCTCCCCCCTCCATTCCAATTATACCAATGTTCGTTACAAAATTGATTCACGTTTTATGCAATACTATTAAATCATTCATCGAATTTCAATAAATATATTTACTCAAGGACAAAAACGACACTCTAGATACTCATTGACGAAATACACTTTCCCTTCCTTTCATCCCTACCATATATTTGAATATATCTAACCATTAATAGAATAGTAGTATGTACTTTCATTCAGTGATTTGGCACATGCAACCCAGAGAAAGCCGTAGCAGGCGTTCAAAGTTTCATTAAGTTTCTAATTTTCAAGCGAAAAAGTCAATTAAAAATCATTTATAACGGCACAGTGTGTGACATAATCAATAAAATGATTAAAAGTTTCAAGGAAGCGGAAAATTCGAGCTACGTTTCGCCGTGATTAAGAGAGGGTCTGCGCCCCATGATGACACAGTAGTGGCTTCCCCAAGGCAAACTTTGTCATTGATTGGGAGCAAACTCACATCCTTACTTTCACATGCAGACAAAAACTGCTGCTGTAACATTTTTTAGACGGATACACGTGTTTTAACGCGAATCGCAAATACTTTTGCATGGTGGATTGAGGCCTTGTTGTATCAATGCCATATAAAGCGAGCGTGTTGGCGGAAAAAAAAATCTTTGTACATGCACTCTTATGAGGAAAGCTTGGAGATATTCATGTTATTGCCATTTACAATTAAAACAAAGCACGTGCTCACATGTTAACAAATGTTCGCAAAGCTAATTGCACTCTGCACATGGGATTGTGGTTTTTCAAGTTTTCTCCATGTCCGTCTGTTTTTCAAAACCCATAATTGAATATTGCACATTGTCACGAAAACGATCTTCTTTTTAGCAGAGTACTGATTGTTAACAATCTTTATAAATTAACTACAATACTGTCACACCCAAGTATGAGTTGAAAAAGAGCAAAGCTCTCAAATCATGCATTAAATTTGGACCTATGCAGTCTGTGACACGAAACTCAGCTGTTTATGCATGTTTCTTTTTAAGTCTACTCGAGAAAACGGCACCAGCTGTCGAAACTAAACGTTTAATATAATTCTTTTCGACCATACATTAGAAAACGAAAAAAAAAATTGTTTGCA